CATGTTATCGATAATTCGTTACCGAAATATTTTATATATTATAAAATATACATTAACGTAAAATATTAAATTATGAAAGTATTTAATTTATTGATAAAAATTAATTATTTATCAAACAATTCACGCAGTCTTTTGTAATGCTAATTATTTGCGTCTATAATTCGATTGTTTTACTTCGCGTTCTTTCATATCCCAAATTATATTTAAATTATCAAGTAGAACGATAAAGTAACGTATGAAATATATTTGTAATTCTAAATGTTAAATTAATAATTATTGTCTGTAAAAATCGCAATTATCGAAGTGATTATTTAATATTTTAAATCCCTATAATTTCATCGATTTTCGATTAAATTGTGTATTTAGAAAGACTGAGAAAACTTAAAGCTTTGAATCGAAATATATTTGATTATAATATTATATTCTAATATTCTATTCTAATATCATAAAGAAATGTTATAATAATGATCGATGATCGAAATACCACAACATAATCTTTTATACTCTTTTATGTATAACCTGCTTCAATTTTAAACCGCGGTAATCAATGATTGCGATTTGATAAAGAATTCGATCGTTGCTATACTGTTTCATGTCGCTAATTAATTTTTAGTTAAGTAATTTTTATTAAAATTTATAGTAAATTATGTTTCCATACTAATTGTCATCAAGTTTAGTAAAAAAATTATAGTATACAAAACGTTTCTTACCACTACTTTATTACTCGAGAGTCACTGTTCGAATGATGACAAAGCGGCACCGTATAGCGCGCTACTGTTTATGTTTTATATTGCCAAAATCAAACATCGTTATCGATGATTCGTTACCGAAATATTTTATATATTATAAAATATACGTTAACGTAAAATATTAAATTATGAAAGTATTTAATTTATTGATTGAAATTGATTATTTATCAAACAATTCACGCAGACTTTTGTTATGCTAATTAATTGCAACTATAATTCGATTGTTTTACTTCATGTTCTCTCACATCACAAATTATATTTAAATTATCAAATAGAACGATAAAGTAACACGGATGAAATATATTTGTGATATTAAATATTAAAATAATAATTATTGTGCGTAAAAATCACAATTATCGAAGTGATTATTTAATATTTTAAATCCCTATAATTTCATCGATTTTCGATTAAATTGTGTATTTAGAAAGATTGAGAAAACTTAAAGCTTTGAATCGAAATATATTTAATTATAATATTATATTCTAATATCATAAAGAAATGTTATAATAAGGATCGATGATCGAAATACCACAACATAATCTTTTATACTCTATTATGTATAACCTGCTTCAATTTTAAACCGCGGTAATCAATGATTGCGATTTGATAAAGAATTCGATCGTTGCTATACTGTTTCATGTCGCTAATTAATTTTTAGTTAAGTAATTTTTATTTAAATTTATAGTAAATTATGTTTCTATACTAATTGTAATCATGTTTTAGTAAAAAAATTACAATTTGCAAAGCGTTTCTTACCACTACTTTATTACTCGAGAGTCACCGTACGAATGATGACAAAGCGGCACCGTATAGCGCGCTACTGTTTATATTTTACATTGCCAAAATCCAACATCTTGTTATTGATAATTCGTTACCAAAATATTTTATATATTATAAAATATACATTAACGTGAAATATTATATTATAGAAGCATTTAAAGTTATGGATTAAAATTGATTATTTATTAAACAATTTGTCACGGGGCCTTTCGTTATGCTAACTATTTGCATATATTATTCGATTGTTTTACTTCATGTTACTTCATTTTACTCCGTACGTTCCAAACATCCTTTCTTCTCTTACGTATCTTTCGTTATTTCTCTTTGTGGCATTCACTCACTCACGAAAACACGATTTAATTAAAGAAATACGTGGCGCACTTTGCACGAGACTCTCAATAATCATACATAATAATCATACGAAACTTATATACGTACTTAAATGATAAAAGAGCAACATGGCCTTTACACGAGATTAAAATCATTCGCTACTTGCTACAGCAATGCGTATGCTACTGATACGCATATTATATGCTGTATAATATACGAATTATAAGAATGAAAATATTAAAATAATAAATAAAGTTGTGATAGCAGTCATTTAATTAATAATTAATTTATGTTCACATTTTAGAAAAATTTGAAGTTTAGGTGTTTGATTGTAACGCAAAATATTAAATTGTAGAAGTTTTTATATTTATAGATTAATTAAATGATTATTTATTATTTAAACAATTAATTAATATACGAAACGTTTCGTATCATTATTTATTGCTTGAATATCACCGAGCAAATGATAGCAAAACTGTAATATATAAACAACGCACTACTGTTGCCAAAGTCATGATTTTATTGATAGTTCGTTGTCGAAATATTTTATGTACTATAAAACGCGTAGAATATTGAATTATAGAAGTATTTTAATTGATTGATTAAAATTGATTATTTATTAAACAATTTATTCATTATGGAATCCTTTATGCATAAAATATTTAAATATATTATTGTGAAGCAGTTTATGAAATATTACTATCTATGTAAAAGTGTTAAATAATATAAGAATATTTTATTATAGATATTTTAAGTATATTAAAATAAGATAATCCAGAATATTTTATATATATGTTATACTAATATAATTTAAAAACTTAAATAATTTAAATAATTTACAATGAGAGAGAGAGAGTGAGAGAAAGATGGAGGGAGAGGAAAAGAGAGAGAATCGTTATTGAGAAAACATGCAATATATAATATGATCTGAATATAAATGACATATATATATACATATATATATATATATATATATATATATATACATATATAATCTGAATATAAATGATAAATATAAATGATAAATAATTTATATTATAAACTATTTACCGGATAATGTTGCTTAGTACGTGGCCCAGTGCTTTCTAGACTTGCTTTTCCTCTCCTTCGCTATTTTTTCGTTGCACTCACTTTCACTCATGAAAACAAGATTAATTAAAATTAGTTAATTAATATTAGTATACGCAAAAATCGCGAGACATTTTGCACGGCATTCCCGATCGCGTAGTAATTACAATTAAAAGTTTAGCGAGTACTAATTATAATTATCATAGCGAATTATGTATATTTTAATATTAGTCATAATTGTGTTTTATCGTTAGAGAAAAAATGTAATATTATACGAAGTATTTCGCACCTTACTCTTCGAATGTTACCGTGTGAATGATATCAAGACCGTACATATAAACACAGCGCGTCATACGCCGCCAAGACCGACCGTGTTATTATCCATTCACTGCTGATATATTTTACGTACTTTAACATATACACGAAATGTTAAAGTGTTTAAAAGTTTTAGGTTACATGGATTAATTAAATAATATTTATTAATTTGTTAAATGTTAAAGTGTCTAAAAGTTTTAAGTTACATGGATTAATTAAATAATATTTGTTAATTTGATGTATCGCAAAGCTTTTTATTATGTTAATTATTTCGATTTATGATTCGATTGTTTTGCTGTGCGTTTTGATTCTAAATTAAATAATTAAATTTTAAATAATTGAAAAATAGAACGAGATAAAGCGTGACGGGAATTATATTTTATTCTATAAATATTATTAAAGTAATAATTGTTCATAAACAATATGGACCACAAATGTTTATCAAAATATCTTCGTGTATCATCATTTGTGTGATAATAATTATGTCGCGCACGTATCTATTTATAGTTTCGATTATCATATTATAAAAATTACGTATATTTCTCGTAATCGAATATTCCTATTATTATCGATTTATTTATTCGCGTTTTTTCGCGAATTTTAAATCGCGATTTATTTTGTAATTTAATTGTTGATTTACATTGAAGCTTATTTTATTTTTTCGTATTTTGAATATCCCTTTGATAATCTACACAAAATGCGCTAGTAATGCAAATATTTTCTTCTACAATCGAAGAAATGATCAATAATTTTATTAATGACTGTTTTAATCACGATTATATATATTTACGTTACATAAAACTTATTAAATTCTATTATCGCATATCGATTATTAATGATAAATGTTGCATAATTAATCATCGCTAATCGGCTTGTCTGGACTATATCAAAATTTTTAGTAAATTTTATATTATTCGTATATTTTAGAGACATTTTCGTGTATTAAATTATTTCATGTAATAAATAAAAATTATTTTGTACTAAGTTTCAAATTATATTTTACATTCACTTTTGTATTAAATCCTGTATTGAAAGAAAATAAAAATAAAATTTAAAAAAAATTTTTTCCTTGTATCTCCACCTTACAGAGGCATTTGCCGGATGAGGTTTGAGTACTCTAGTTGAGTACTATGTTAAAAGCTGATTTTACTTTCCTCATTTCCTACGGATTTGCATTCAATGTATCAATCAAGGAATTTTTTCACTTTTCACGAAAAAAAATTACATGATCGATCCTCTGATTTTATTATTTTTCAATTATGCGAGGTAGGTAAAAGAAGACCGATCGTCAGATAGGCAACCCGACTTACTGATCTGTATGTTGCGGAAGCACCCTGTATATGTTACCTTCTGAGAACTTTCGTGGACTTTGGCTTTGTAGTTCATGTCCACGTTTTTTAGATTAACAGAGGGCGTATCGCTTTCAGGGATCACCTAAAAGCGGGCCATGACATCTCTCAGTCTTCTCTCTGATATATATATATATATATTTAGAGAGAGAGAGAGAGAGGATCACACAAAACTTATTTATAAGATAATTTAAAAATTTATTTGATATACATAAGCATCTTGCGACACTCTTATTCGTATTGACATTTCGTACACATAGCACGGAACAGAACCAAAAATTGTGTACGTTATATGTTACCCTCTGAGAGCATTCGTGTACTCTGACCTTTATAGTTCATGTTCATGTTTTTAATTTCTATAGAGGGCGTATTGCTTTAAGGGATCATCTAAAAAACAGGCCATGACACCTTTCATTCTTCTCTTTGGCCCTGGAAAGAAGCGATAAAACTTGCAAGATGGCGTCTCAATGAAAAATTCGTGCATTCGTTTCAGATAATAATAATTATTATAATCATTGGTAATTATTCGGACCGTTGGAATTGTTGTGCGAAGGCTTGTCTGTTGTGCTTCTATCAATTATTTCCTAAACTTCATTATGGGGTAAGTCTATTATGTGGAACCTCGAATTTAGTATTACAGTATCAACAGAGAAGAGTCAGCACATCTCTGTATTTGTTGAAAGAAATAGAAACGGATTAAGTCTTTCCATCCATAGAGAATTGCTTTGCTAGGATATTTATTTTGATATATATTATAGTACGTCAGATTTAGAAGACCCCGAGTGTAAAAGAGAACCCTTAGGATTAGATTCTGATACAGATGGAATGACTGATCAGAGAAAGAAAAAGAAAAGAAAACACAAGCATCATAAGCATAAGAAAGAAAAATTAATTGAAAGAGAAGACGAACGATTGGATAGGCAAGAAAGGTTCAATTTTAATATAAATAAGTAATTTATAAATATATTAATTGAAATTAAAACAATATCTTTTTTATAGACGGAAGCATAAGAAACATAAGAGGCAGAAAAAAGATAAGGAAATAGAAAATGGTATAGACGAGAAATTAATCTCTAATGTAATACATAAAGAAGTTGGTATGAATGGAAAAACAAAAACCTCTGTATTAGAAGTTGTTTCTACGGAAGAAAGCGAAGATGAAAAGTTAGTTGACTTAGATTCGGATGAAGTAGATTGTACAATCATAGAAGATGATATTGATCTTGAAGAATTAATGAAACAAAAGGTACATGTGAGTTTAATTAATATAATTAACGTAATATAATATTGTATAGATACAAGTTATATGAATGTTTAATTTCAAAATTGCATGATTGTACAGGAATTACTGCAAGCATGTTTAGTACAATATCTCTCGGATGAATCTGAGAAAGGAGAAGATAAAGAGTTACAAGAAGAAGAAACAAAAATGACAGAAACACCTGATGTAATACTAGTGGAAGATGATAGCGATACTAATGATGTACCATTGAAGAAAAGAACCAGGAGCAAATCAGGCAGTAGAGAACGTAAGAAAGTGACAAAAGTTGAAAGACGCGTTATAGTTGATATGACTAGAGACAGAAAAACTCGCGAACAGCATAAAGATAAGAGAAGAGATTCCGATAGGAAAAAAGATGAGAAAGTCCGTCCTAGAGAGGAAGGAAAGAAAGAAGAAACTCGAAAAGATGATAGAGCTTCACGAAAGACTAGCGAAAGGCAAAAGGAAGATACAAGAAAGGATGAATCCAATAGAAAAGCAGACGAAGACCAGCAAAGGCGTAAAGATATACCAAAAAGAGACGAGACACGGAAAAGAGAATCAGACAGACGGTAAGTAAAAATTGTTCGTCTTGTTTCGCATTAATTGTCATTAAAAAATAGTATAAAAAAATAGTATTAATATATATATAAAATATATATATAAAAATAGTATTAATATATATATAAAATATATATATAAAAATAGTATTAATATATATTAATAATTCCCTCAATTTCTATTAACTAATCTATAAATAATTAATTTATATATAGTGAAGAGAATCGGAGACGAGAACCAACTCGTCATAGCTCAAAAACTCGTAACAACGAGGCAAAGAATTCAGATAGTAAAAGTCGCGACAGATTAGGAAGTCGCGAACATCAAGACAGTCGCGATCAACACATTAATCACGATCGACGTAGTCGCGATAGACCATCAAGTAAAGAGCCTCGTCGTCACGCTAGTCGTGATAAGAGAGATAGTCGAAGTAAAGATCGACATGGAAATAGAGATAGACGTGATGGTAGTCGCGATCGGCGAGATCGGTATCATGATCATCGAATTGAGGATCGATCTCGCAGTAGCGTGAGGAAATCACGTAGTCCTATTCGAAGCAGAATGGAAAGAGAACGAAATGATCGATATAAGAGATCTAGATCACCCTCCCGAAGTCACAGAGATCGGGATAAGCAACAACAAGTTAGGGACCATGGCAGAGACCGTGAAAAAGATAGAAACAACAAAAGGGAGCGTAATGATAAATATAAGGATTCTTTATCAGAAGGTCTGAAAGTAGAACATTCGGACAGTTCAAGCGAAGAGGATATTAAAGATATCAATATCGAAGAAGAGGAGGACGAAGAAGCGATTATAGAACGTCGACGAAAACAAAGAGAAGAATTGCTTAAAGTAAACAACATAAAATTCACATATATGCATATGTATTACTTTGTTGTATTGGATAACGGATATGTTATAACGGATATATTCCCTTTTTTACAGAGACTTAGTGGACCAAACGAGGATTCCAATATGTCTGCTGACATAAATGTTGCTGCTTCTCCAGAAAGCCAATCTAATATATCACAAAAATCTATAGAAATTCCATCCAATAATAATGAATCTATATTGGAGAGCCATACTCCACCACTGCCCACAGATAAATTAGAATCTCCGCCTCCGGCCAAAAAAAGAAGATCTAGATTCGACGATGCATCGCCCAATGAATCTGATAAAATCGGGAACATCAAAATATCTGAGAAGTTTAAACAGGAGGAAAAGCAAACTTCAAAAAAATCGAACGAATGGGATATGTTTGCAGAAGCAGATAATATCGGAGATTTTAATGTATGTTTTCTACTTCATTTTATCTTAAAGAAAATTTGTCCAAATTAGCTTAAGTAAATTTTCTTTTCTTTTTATCTATTATATTCTTTTTATCGCAATTTGTTATCCAGAGCCCAACAGTTGAAGGAAAACGTCAAGGAGGACCAGATAATCCTAGTTTAACGGATAACTGGGATGATGCCGAAGGATATTATCGGTTAGTGATATTTTTTGTTTTTTTAATTTGAAAGAATAACGCTCAACTTAAAAGTTAATAATGATGTAATTTGTTTATTAGCGTACGCGTTGGAGAAACACTAGATGCGCGATACGTAGTTTATGGGTATACAGGACAAGGTGTATTTAGCAATGTTGTAAGAGCGAGAGACAGTGCTAGAGGAAATTTGGATGTAGCTGTGAAAATTATAAGAAACAATGAGATAATGTAAGTACAACATTTTTGGTTTTAAAACGCGATGTATAATGGCTACTATCTTTTTCGTTCTTATAGGCATAGAACCGGTTTAAAAGAGCTAGAAATCCTTAGAAAACTGAACGATGCTGATCCAGAAGACAGATTTCATTGCTTGCGTCTATTTAGGCATTTCTTTCACAAAAACCATTTGTGTATGGTTTTTGAACCTTTAGCTATGAATTTAAGAGAGGTATGCATTTATAAGTACAATTAGAGAATGTTGTTGCAATAATTGTATTCTATAACAATAGATATTGTTTTATAATTGCAGGTTTTAAAAAAATATGGCAAAGATGTTGGTTTACATGTTAAAGCGGTAAGGTCGTATACGCAGCAACTTTTTCTAGCACTAAAGTTATTAAAACGTGCAAATATTCTGCATGCTGATATCAAACCGGATAATATTCTAGTCAGTGAAAGCAAGTTAGTGTTGAAACTTTGTGATTTTGGTTCCGCATCGCACGCCCATGAAAATGAAATAACACCATACTTGGTCTCAAGATTTTATCGTGCGCCCGAAATTAGTAAGTACTTTGAGATTTATTGAATCAATACATAGTTATTACATATCGTTCTTTCTCTTTCATTTTATATAACTCTATTAAAATATATTATTTATCAGTAGCCTTTTACTTTACACGTTTTTTCTTTTTTTTTTCCTTCTCTCTCTCTCTCTCTTTCTTTCTTGTTTACCGTTATCACATATCTCTTTCAACTTTTCAGTAGATCAAATGTGTAATATTTTTTTTATGTATATGCTAATCGCTGCATATAGCATAATAGAGTATTATATATCATATTCACTGTATATATATATATATATATATATATATATTTACTGATAATGTTTATCTTGCAACATCTGAATTAAGCAGTTCTAACAAACGACAAGTGATAGCGATTTTGCAAGCATTTAGCTTCATTCTTTTCATTTTATGCCATATTTAAAAATATTCGATAACAAAAATAGATTAAACAAAAATTGTCATATGTTTATATATTATGTCATTTTATAAAAACAAAATTACAGTGATATGTGTCTGTTATATAAATCAGCTCAAACTTGCACAACGTTGAAAAGATGGTAGACATTGAATTTAAAATGTTTCGAACCGAAAATAACATCATTATTTTCTAGTTCTTGGTATACCATATGATTTTGGCATTGACATGTGGTCTGTGGGGTGCACCATATACGAACTTTACACGGGGAAGATAATGTTTTCGGGAAAAACGAACAACCAAATGTTAAAGTACTTTATGGATCTAAAGGGCAAGATGCCGAATAAACTAATTCGAAAGGGAACATTTAAGGATCAACATTTTGACAGTAACTGCAGTTTCCTGTATCACGAGGTTGATAAAGTTACGGAACGGGTAAGTCGATACTTTGCAATTTTATCCATTGACCCGCGCCAAAAACGCGCGGTAAGTAACACTATTTTTTTAGGCGCGTCATAGAAGATTCTAATACAATGATTAATATACTCTATCGTATAATTATAGGTTCTTTTGCGTTATTTTCTGAATAAATCTCGCGGAATTCACTAAATAGTATAATTTCTAGGAAAAGGTTGTCGTAATGTCGACACTGCCAGCGACTCGCGATCTCAGCGCGGAACTCGGTGGGAATTCTTTACCACCAGAACAAAATCGCAAAGTTGGACAACTGAAGGATTTGCTGGAGCGAACACTGATGCTGGATGCGGGGAAGAGGATCACAGTAAATCACGCTCTGGCGCATCCCTTTATACAAGAAAAAATATAGGTAACCCTATCTGGGGTCCTTTAAGATTCGAAGAATTTACTGACATAACTTTGTAAAATGAGGTCGTTAATAATCCTTCCTTAATTAATGTTAAACACTACTTGATAGGGGAGAGCGGTATGTCTCTCTATCTCTCTTATCTCTATTTCTCTCATTTTCGTTCCTTCCCTGCCTCCATTCCAAATACTCTTGTTTTTACACAGAATATCCATATTTATGTTTTAGCAGGAAGAGGCGGTTCAATTTTTACAAATTGTTTCATATAATATGTGAAAATTGTGAGAGATAAAAAAAAGATATAGTTCTGAATATAGTTATGCGCATATAAAATGCTATACTCCATAAACTCAAAAATATGATTTAATTACATGTGATGTTATTACAGATTAACAAAGTATGATATTTTTATACTCGAGACAACAGTTGTGAATATAAAAATTAACGAATTGTTATAAATATAGATGTTCTCTAAATGTAGATTAGTCTGTGATGTATCTGAAAACATCATCATATTAATTAATAATTCTCTCATTATAGAACAAAACTGTTCACGATCTGCAAATTTCTGTGAGTTAACGCCTATCTATAACGCATTTACATCTTGAGATCTTAGTAACGAATCGCCTGACGAATATAAACAAGATGAGCAGCATTTTGTCTTAAGTACGACACATCTATAAACGCGATATAATTTCCATATCTCCTAACTGTCAACACTTTAAAAACGCGACTTTCGTAAAATTTTATATATTATATATAATTTATATATAAAATAATAATATATTTATAATATATATAATTAATCAAAAATTGGGGTTATTGAATTAATTATTTAAATAGATTTTAAAAAGATCGCGTTTTAATAGCATTGAACATTTGACAGTTAGAAAATGGAACTGCATCATGCTGTCTAGATACGCTATATCTGAGAGAGAATATCGCGACTTGTTTATGGTTGTGAGGTAACTGATTGCTAAGATGTCAAGATATAAGTGAGAGGTGATAGACATTAATACACGGAAATCGGGTGAAATGTGTAAATGTGTAGATCATGAAAGCTCTGATGTAGAATATCACAGATTTATGATATCAGTTTTTAAAATATTTTAAAATATATTGATTGCATCATATTGTATATCTATGAAAAGGATATAGATAAAAACGACCGCCTCTTTCAGCACAAACTATATAGTACCAGATATTGGAAATTGATATACAATTGTAGTATCATTTCCTTTTTCCGATTCTCATAATTTGGAGAGCACGAACATAAATCCTTATAAATAGCATTTCATAAAATGATTATAGATTCGTGCGCTCATATTAATAGATGCTTCATAAAATTGTACGTTTGTATTTCTACAAAGCGAGGATTCGTACATATAAAGAACTGTAAACTCCTTATTGGACACACTGTTCGATCCGTTTAGAGTACCTCATCAGCGAGCATACGTGCATATACATATATACACACACACATGGCATTAGAAGCCTTAGTGACAAAGAAACCTGCTCTAATCGGAAGATAAATTGTATAGCAAATAGGTCAGCTTGAAAATAAAACGACACATGCTTAACAGAATGAGAAGAATGTCCTGCATTTTGTCTTTTCAGTCTTAAATTACAGATGTGAATATAATTGAAATATTTCTTACATATTTTTCTCTCTTTTTTATTCTCTCTGTCTCTGTTTTTTCATTCTATTTCTGAAATTTAAAGAGGATGGATATGTTAATCGAATCCAATTCTATAATAGCGATAGTATAATAGGTATACATTATGTTTATATATGTATATATGTGTACATATATATACACATATATATGTATATAGCGTGCATTCATTTTCTGGTTGGTAACGTGTTAAATAATATATCGGTCTAATATTTAATAGTATATATCTCGATTTATAATTATATATATATATATATATATATATATATATATATATATACACACATATATATATAACGATGTATAATGGATCGAATGAGATGCTTACCTGATATTTATAATCACATATATTATTATATATATTTGCGATAATGCTAAATAGAAATGAAAATGTATATATTTGAACTGCGACACAAAGTTAAAAACTACATAAAGCGGTATTGAGATATTACAAGCGCAATAATGACAATTATCGAAAAATTATGTAGTATCTGCATTAAGTAAGAGTCATATATTACTGCATTCTAATTACGTGGCATTTTAATTTTATTTATAACGTCCTTTTTATACTTCTTATAATCTTATGATCAAACTTTAAAATCTCAAAAATTTTCATATTCATTTGAGATTAGGAACGAATATCGATGCTGTTGTGAATGGTTCACGGCATGATTCTGAACGTGACAAAATTGTACGAGACTGCTTATGTTTCAGATGTGTCTTCGATTCAAATCATCGTTAAGTGCGGCCGGACCTTTCAAGGGCCTTTAGCGCCGATCCCGTTACAAGGTATTCATGGGGGATTGCCTGGGATACTTAATACACATCGCCTTTTTAGTATATATGTTTATATTAGTAATGAGGTCATTAGTAATGAGTAAACTGAAATCGTACGAAAGTATAATTCGATTTTATGCCAAGTCATCTATTTGATAGGAATTGTATTCGAGGCAACAGATAACATAGAATTTTAAATCAAAGTTCCAACAGTTTTATATATTGTAATTACATCGTTTGAATATTTGCTTTCGTAAGAATTAAAAAAATATGAAACATGATAAATTGATACACGATATTATAACGCGCGGTAAATGTACGCGTTTTAGTGTTCTTGTTCAACCAGAAAGGAACAATATATATATAAAATAAAGTATCGATAATATAAAATTGACGTGGAAATAAAAAAAAAAATATATGTTTCTCGGGAATATTTCTCAATATTGAAATAAAAGTATATTATGAAGCTATGATTAGTATGTGCTGTTCTAATTGGCAATTTGGTGATGTTTCACTTGTAGCCCTCCCTTGTGAGGAGGGGAGGCAATGGAAGAAGTGATGATGAATACGATTGATGAGGAGGAGAGGAAAAAATATGCGATATACTTGCACTCTACGTCATGTCTACTGCGTAAAAATATACATACACTGTTGCTAAACAGTTCAACAAGATTTATACAACGGTTAAACTAAATTTATATCTGCGTGCTAAAAGGTTTCTCTTAAAGTTACTCGAGATCGCAATTGAGGATTCGTAAGTATGTATACAGGTAAAGTACATAGTTATAACAATTTCACAAGCAACATTATAACAAGCATTTTAATTAACACTTCTATTTTTCTCAAAATTATTTTAATTTCGAAAGCTATATTTTTTAACAACGAGCAAATGAATATATGAATATTTATATAATAATACTAATATTTGCGGTTTTGAGTTTTCAGATATTTAAAGCCTATGCTCTCTCTCTCCGTGAAAGCGAAAAGCAGATGTGATGAATCCATTATTCTCGAAAAATTATCATTCTATTTCTATTTTTATTTCTTTCTTCCTTTTACCCTCTTTCTCTCTTTTTTACTCTTTCATAAATACTATCGAAAAATATGTAGAAATATTTTAATGTAAATAAAACTTATTAAAATCATAAAAAGATATCTGTATCTATATATTTCCTTACAATGAAAATAATACTTATTTAACTTTATAAAATAATTGAAATAAAATGAATACAGATGAAGCAAAGAGTGTAAGTGAATATAAAATATTTTTTATAATTAATAAAATTGTACAAAATAAAAGGGATTTATGTACAATAATATATTTTCTACACTTTACAAAAGTCAATTTATTTTTATTAATCAATAATTATATGTAGAATATCATAAAACAAGCATATAATGAGGATAAACATATTTTTCTTTTTGAGATCAATATAATTATTTTTATATCAGTATTTAAATAATTTCATATTAGTAAATAATTCGATTTTATCTTTTCTATAAATTTACATAGATTTATATTAACAGACATTATTATTATATAAACTGTTTTATATATAAGTAGAACAATAAGTACATAAATAAGTTTATCACACATAATTTTTTTAAACTATTTTACGCACAAATTTTAAAGAAAAATGAGTAATATCATACAGATATTTTTCTTATCTAAGCTAAATAGCTCTTATATGCAATTTTTTATATATATAATACATCTTCAATTTACTTTTCTTACTTTTAGGAAGTAATATTTGCCTATATCCAATTAGACATTTGTATAAATATAAATTCGTTCTCATCTTTCATACAAAATTTTGAAGCTTCTTAATCTCGTTCTGGATAATATTGAATTAATATTTTAGCCATTTCTTGAGCTACTTCAATCGATGATGCACATAGTGCTCTTCTACTCATTACATCAAATGGACCTCCTTTTGATGTAAGAATAAAATAAATGTTAATCCTTTAAATTAGCGTTTAGTATCTTTTTTCTGATTTATACATGGGATAATTATATTTACCTGCTGGATCTATCGACACACCGCCTGCTTCTCGAATAATAAGATCTCCGGCTGCAATATCCCATGCGTGTATACCAAATTCGATATAAACATCAGCACCACCAAGAGCTACCATACACATATTCAAAGCCGCTGAACCAAGCGCTCGCAGTCTACATGATAATCGGATAAATTTTTTCGGTCAATCAAAAAAATCTTTGTGCAAAAATGTAGCTTGTAAATATGATTTACCCATGGGCACGTTCTGTAAGGATTCTTATATTTTGCAATATTACTTCCAATTTTTCCGGATCTCTGCTCGTTCCCATTTCTAGCATTATCAGTGAATTACGCAATTCTGAAATAACGATAGTAGAGTAAAAATACATTGTCAGTTAAAATCAGATAAGTTATCACAACAATTAATAGTGCGAATGGTTTGCGTTTTTAGAAATAACGAGCAAATTACCTTTTTTGTCCGACACGTGAATCGGAGCACCATTAAGAAATGCACCCTGACCCTTACGAGCGGTGAAAAGCTGCTCCAAAACTGGATTATATATTATTCCTATTTCCGTCGTTTTATTAATAAGTAACGCAATTGATATGCACGTGTGCGGTAAACCATGAACAAAATTCATCGTGCCATCGATCGGATCGATTATCCAGGTTGGCGCATTTGTTAGTTCTATCTTCTCGCCCATGGCAGTACTTTCTTCGCCGATAAATCTGTATTTTTTTTTTAAATATAAATATGAGAACAATACGATATTGCAATTAATATTAATCGATTGTAATACAATTCGATATATTTTCCAATAAAAAAATTGTGTATAGTGAATTGTATATTATATTATTATTGCGCAACAACACGTAATGGATATTTAATTAAATGAAAATTTAATTACATACTTATGATCAGGATACTTGGATGATATTCCGTTGATTAAAAGTTTTTCTACCTTTTGATCCCATTCTGTAACTAAATCGACGTCGCATGATTTTGTGAGTACATCTTTGTGTTGATGAATCTTTTCATTGATAATCTACAAAACGAAACGTGTATATGATGAATGTAATAAGTATATTTAAATTTTTTCTTGTACCAGGCGCATTAATGTATAAAAAAATTGAATACGCCAATAATAAAGCTTTTAAAGTCGCGACAAAGAATCACGCATAAACAAATATTGTCTATTAATGTTGAACATTTATAATAGATAGAAAAACAAGACAATTTTTAATAGCTTATTTCTTCTGCAATTTATATTTTCTTCATATTGTATATGAATCATTTCATATGTTGCTGTAATCTCCCTCACTTGCCATAAAAAATTGAGTAATTTCGGATATCTTGTAAATATATTGAAAAATTAAGATTATTTTATAATTATATAAATTGATACATCAAAATATAATCTGCTTCTATCGATCAATCAATGGCAACTTGTCTCATAAGCCAGATTAACAGCATGACACACGATTTAAAAAATGTACTCGAAAAAGTTGATAAAACCTATCTGCGTACTTGTAACATTCAAAGGAGATAAAATTAATTACATTTTAGTCTCTCAACTTACCGAACCAGCCTGTTTCACAAGCCGCAAAATTTCAATATAACACTCGTCAATGTTCGTAAACATGATTTGTTACAGCTCTAAAAGCTCCGATTTATTACTCTCTTATATAGATAGAATACCACTGTGTGAGCGACACACGTTCCAAAATGGTCTCGTCGTGAATTCTTGCCTGTATCAACGCTCAGCTGGCACTGACATCGAGCTTCGTGGCTTTCAGACTTTGACGCAAGGCGTATTCGCTCGATATACACACCGTCTCCCACCACTATGATCACGTGATCGATTCTCGTGTAAACCGGAAGAGCTGAACACAATAATACACACATACATACACATAAATTATCTATTATTTTTATATAATATAAGGAAAAGAGAGAAAGAGGCAACAGAGAGAAATAATACGCTTCTCATCATTTAACAGAACAATCGTATTTTTTTATGATATATTTTTAACATATATACATATATGTCTATAATTACATAGCCATATCTGTATTTATGTGTTGCTCGCTTTGTATATATCTCTCTACGCGTACAATACATATATATTTATTATCACACCTAAAGTTGTCTTGTTCCGCAAGGAATGATATGTATGTGACGTAACTCCCAAAAAAGGAGCACGAAGCAACTTTCATTCATAAATATATTTGTATCTTCTTTCAATCACGCTATACTTTGAATGGTGGAGAGAGAAAATCTCTCAACTTTAAAAATTTATCAATGAATACGTAATTGAAACGAAGTACAATACATCAAGTAATATAGACACCCTGTGTGTATACATAAATAAAATTATAACATATTATATATACACTAAATTGCAGGAAGTAGAATACCGCCTTTTTGCAGTATCCATAAGTTACATATATACGCGTCATGTGTTATGCTCATCTCTGTTAGGTAATACAATTTATTAGTATCTGTGCAACCAACCTTTTATCTATCGTCTACTACCGTGCTATGTACTACAGTTTCCTTGTATTGAGCGTTTTCTGTTTTGCAACTAATTTCAAATTTAAATAACTTAACAAAAGGACCATTTATAGGCAACTTAGCGATGCTTACATAAGATATGTATCGCAGCCGCAACTCTTTGAGGAGAATGACCAATAATTTAATTAATTAATTCTATTTATCCGGTAATTCTATTAACAATTTATTCCTTTCACACGTCTCTCTTTTCTCCTCGAAAAAATAGGAAAAAATAAAAGAGACGTGTCAAAAGAATAATAATAACTTTCATATATTTCTATCACTCTAAAAGTTTGAGTGACATACAGAAATAGACAGAATTTGATTAACTAAAAAAAGAGACAACAATATCATTTATACATTTTGTACGTTAGTAATTATCAAATTAATAAATGAGATAAGATCTTGAAATGCGTCTCTAATATTGTGCAAATACGTAGACCGACTTGATATTTTCAATGTGCAATCTAAATATATTATTTTTATCTTATGAAATTATCCGTAAATCGTGCGTCACGTTGTCAACATTCATCGAAATTATGCGAGAAATTTTTTCAAGATACTTTCATTTCTTTATAATAAGCGAGAAATATTTTAAACTTTTGGCCTCAATTCCAAAAGAAGCTTGATGACAGTCTCGTCGGCCAGTGTAGTTGTATCTCCGACATCTTCTTCGCCCGCTGCAATTTTCCTCAACATACGTCTCATGATCTTGCCAGATCTTGTTTTCGGTAAAGCTGGAGCATGTTGAATGACATCCGGTTGAGCGAAAGCGCCAATTCTTTCACGTACTATTTAAAAATAATTTTATTAGCGTAATGTATAATGTATAAGTGTATAATATAAAATCGATTGCAAAGCGAGTGCAAAAAAACTCACCTCTCTTTTTAAGCTCAATTTGCAATTTTTCGTCAAACGTCTTCCCGTCACTCGGCGTAATGAAACAATACAAGCACTCTCCTTTAACAGTATGTTTTTTACTGACTACTGCGGCCTCGGCTACCGAAGAATGTTCTGCCAATACATTTTCAACTTCAGCCGTTGACATTAGGTGACCAGATACGTTCAACATATCATCGATACGGCCGGTTACCCATAGATATCCATCTGCGTCGCGTTTCGCTCCTAAAATCACAAAGAAGAAATTGGATTTAAATCCCGTTCGATTCCATCATAATTGATGAAATTGGAACAGAGTTATGTAATAAAATGTAAATTCTAAAAATATATTTGTCTTGACGTATCATTTCGCTTGAATGCATCTGAATGAGGCTGCAAACATATTTCGTTGTCAAACAGTCTCGCGAAACATGCAACACGTAATTTCAGTCACAAAATTGTTAAATTATGTAATCATTGTCGATGCCGCAGGACTTATACGTCCGCTAAAACGAACGTCTAATTTAAATCCATTTGTTTTCGTTTTCTTATATCATATTTAAATTATGACATAACATTTGAAAAGTTCAATATAAGATGGCATTTCGAAAGATCAAGGCCCGTCAGATATTTGATTGCAGAGGCGAACCGACCTTAGAAGTCGACGTAGTTACCGATATCGGTTTGCTCCGATCATCGGTACCTTCCACTGTGCTGATCAATCCGAATCAGGCGCAAGAGATCAGAGACGAAAACGCAAAGGCTTATCACGGTCGTTCGGTATTCAAAGCCGTTGATATCATTAATAACGTGATTGCTCCGCAGCTGATAAAATCCAAATTGGATGTTTGTCAACAAGCTGAAATAGATGGATTGCTGATCAAGTTGGACGGCACGCAGAATAAATCGAGACTCGGCGTGAACTCCATTCTCGGAGTATCCGTAGCCTGTTGCAAAGCCGGAGCAGCCAAGAAGGGTCTCCCGGTTTACAGGTTACCATTAATTTACTGTCGTTCTTTTCCATTAGTTTATTTCATTATGCGAAGAAATCCTCCTGCAATGTAGCGCTTTTATTTGAAATTTTATAATCGCTTGTTTAAGATACATTGCTGAATTGGCAGAAAATAGTCAATTGTTAATACCTGTACCGAGTTTCAATATGATCAGCGGGGGAAGATACACTACCAACAACTTAGTGTGTCATGAATTTGCAATATTACCTATAGGTATACAATATGTGCGGAATTCAAATACATTATTCAAACTGCAAAAAATCGGATATTCGATTACTTTTCGTATATATTTGCAGGTGCTGAGAGCTTTGCCGATGCTGTAAAAATGACTACTGAAATATATCGAGTGTTAGAGAAAAAGATCCTTGATGCTCAAGGAATACGAGGTCAACTTCCGGTTAGCGACGACGGAGGCTTTGTTCCCGACTTGAAAGATGACAAGGCTGCCCTGACTCTTTTGAACGCGTCTATTAAAGATGCGGGTTACGAAGGCAAGATTAAGATAGCATTGGATATGGCAGCAAGTGCTTTTTATAAAGAAGGTCTTTTTATATTTATCTTTTTCCGTTTACATAATTATAAACAATAGAATAACCCTAATAAAACGCTTTCCGCATTTGTATTCATGCATAGGAGGATACGATTTAGCATTTAAGACAAAGGATTCTGATCCCGCCAATTATTTAAAAGCTGAGGCTTTACGAAACCGATATCTGGAGTATCTGTCTGAATTCCCAGCGATAGTATCAATCGAAGATCCCTTCGATCAAGAAGATTGGGAGAGTTGGTTAACAATCGCTAATCAAAAGATTCAAATAGTCAGTGATGCTCTTACTGCGATGAATATCGACAGGATCGAAGAAGCAATGGATAGGAAAATAGCAAATTGCCTTATATTGAGAATATCACAAATTGGAACTGTAACAGAAGTCATTAATTGCGCGAAAATGGCAAGAATCAATGATTGGGGCTATATTGTGAGCGCGAGTCGCGGTGAAACAGAAGATAATTTTGTTGCTGACATGGCGGTTGGACTTGCTGCTGGTCAATTCAAAGCTGGAGCACCATGCAGGTAATGCGACGTGACGAGAATAATGCTTAGAGTTTTAATTTAAAATCGAATTATCTATCATTTTCCATTTTTCCATAAATTTATCCTTATCTAGATTAACTCTCAATTGCAATATATAAAAATCATATTCATTAAATAATTGTAGGAGTGAAAGAATGGCCAAATATAATCAAATTTTGAGAATCGAAGAAGAACTTGGCAAAGATGCCAAATATGTTGGACTGAAATATCGAAATCCTTTAGCAAAATAACGTGAATATAATTGTGTAGTTTATAATAAAATGTAAAATGAACATAAAAAAGCACTTACCATCTCCCGTACAGTAATATCCTTTGAATCGCTCGAAGTACGCACTCTGAAAACGTTTATGATTTCCATAAAGCGTTCGCATCATACCCGGCCATGGTTGACGGAAAACGAGATATCCTTCTCCTTCGCCCTCTACTATGTGACCATCTTCGTCGAGAAGTTCCGGCAAAACTCCAAAGAACGGAAATGTCTGCATACATTCATTTCATATGTTAGAAATAGTTATACTATATGCAAAGCGAAATCATTAATTATAAGAAATCATTTACCGCGGAGCCTGGCTTCATAGGTGTGCAACCTGGTAGTGGTGTAATTACGTGACCACCAGTTTCCGTTTGAAAGAATGTGTCTGATATACTGCATTTACCGTGGCCGACGATATTGTAATACCAGAGCCAAGCCTCGGTATTGATTGGTTCACCCACTGAGCCAAGGACCTGAGACACATATATGTATAAATTTCTATTCATTAAGTCGATCAAGAGAGAGATAAACTCTTTGAGAATTACCTTAAGTGTGGATAAACTGTTCCTTGTCACATAATCATCGTTAAATTTCATTAATGATCTGATAGCAGTTGGCGCCGTATAAAATTGCGTGACCTTGTATTTATCGACGATCTTCCAGAATCGGTCTTTATCCGGATAAAAAGGTACACCCTCGAACTATTAACAGATGCAGATTTATCAGGAACAAAAAAAATAAAAGAGATATAATCTAAAAGAATGTGGAAAATGCATACGTACCAAGACAGACGTTGCACCACATCCCAACGGACCGTAAACTACATAAGTATGTCCTGTGATCCAACCGATATCGGCAGTACAAAAATAAACATCACCAGGATGATAATCAAAAACATATTTAAAAGTTGTCGCTGCAAAGATCATATATCCTGCGGTAGTATGAAGAAGACCCTTTGGTTTTCCGGTAGAACCGCTATATACAACAGGAAAAAGAAAAATAATCAATAACGGATAAATTAAAAGAACTATATATGTAGAATAGTGTGTAGAATAGTTGTCTATTTTATCGATTTTATTTTCTTTATTATTTATCCTGTCCAATTAGAAATCGTCATGATTCGTACCTCGTGTAAAGGATAAAAAGTGGATCTTCGGCAGCCAGCCAAACTGGATAACAGCTCGGCTCTGCGTCTTCCATCTCGTCATGCCACCAAACATCTCGATCATTGTCCCAGGAAACGTTGGTCAGCTCCGTATCACCATTGCTGGTGCCGTTCACACCATTCATCCTACCCTGAGGATTGTTGAGTCTTCTCAAATGCGAAACGACGATGCAGCATTCGATTTGATAATCCTGCTTCTTGACCTTCTCCAAGGCTTCATCGCAGATATTTTTCAACAGAAGTAATTTCTCACCTCTCCATACACCATCCGCAGTGATCAGGACTTTAGCTTTGGAGTCGAGTATGCGTTCCGCCAAAGAATCGGACGAGTATCCTGCAAACTACAAACATATATTGTCTTTTTTCGTATTAATTCATCATTCGCTGCTTATTTATTTCAAACGTTTCACTCACCACTACGCTATGAACCGCCCCTATCCTCGTGCAAGCTAACATGGCGATCGGTTGCTCCAAGATATTTGGCATATAAATCACTACTCTGTCTCCCTTGGTGATACCCTTCGATTTGAGGACGTTCGCAAATCTGCATGTCTCCTCGAGCAGCTTTTTATATGTCAGTCGCGAATAATCTTCTGGATCGTTTCCTTCCCTAGTAATAACGCATTTCAAAATCTCAAAATTAATAAAAATTTACGAGAGAAGAAAGAAAAAGTTCATTAATCGCACAGAAAAATCACAAGAATATACATCGCATAGAAAAATCACAAGAATATACATCAATTTAGAACTATTTCGAAAAAATTCTGTTTAATTTAATTAATTTTAATTTTAATTTATTCAGATATTTTTTAGACAGTTTTATTAATAATATTTTACTAAATGTATTAATCTTTTTGTTATTTGAAAAGAAAGATTAGATTAGAAACGATATTATATAGTTAAAAATTTATTCCAAATAATTTTTTACAAATTGAATTCTCGATTCAATCGAATCAATCGTCGATTAAGTTAAAGTTAATATTCAAAGTAGCCTCGAGACTATTTAAAATATCTTGTGTATTTTTCTCGTATTATATTTATATTCTAAATATATTTCTAATTATATTAAAAATATCTTGAGCAACTATTAAATATATTTCTAATTATATTAAAAATATCTTGAGCAACTATTAAATATATTTCTAATTATATTAAAAATATCTTGAGCAATATCTTAACAATACGAGAAAATCAAGTTTATAAAAACATATTTATGTCGCGCATATATAATTATATTTAGAAAAATCTAAGTGATAATATTAGCATAACATGCTAATTGACATTAAAAGCATTATCGTGTAATAAAGTATATATACATAAGATTATAAATCAAAACTTTACAAGTTTACGCTTATCTACAATAATATAGGTAACGAATAATTAAAAGAAAGTTAAGCGAATTGATTGATAAATAAAATTTTATAATATCTGTCTTGATGAAACAGATACCGACATAAATCGTGATATAAAATTGCACGTGATTTTTTGTGTGTAAGATAGCGATAACTGTCGCTAGATAAAAAATGTAACGTTTAGCGATATTTAAAAATACAATTTAATACAAATCAATATTATATAAAAGAATCGATTAACGATTTAAGTCGATATAAATATCATTTAACGATGATGTCGACAAGCGTTCACGTTTTTTTTCTTTTTTTTTTATTCTTTACGTCTATTCTATATATTATCACAAGACTAAGTATAAGCTTTTGTGGTTGATCTTCTTCTCACATAGATTTTATTTTTCGCGTTTGTATTTTCTATAGTCCATATATGCACAACCACAAGACTAAGTTCTTGCGGTTGATCTTATTGTTAGTCTCAAATAAATATTACATTTTGCATTTATATTCTTCTTACTCCATATACAACCGCAAAACTAAGCTCTAGTGGTTGATCTATAATAATTATTCTGATATAGATGATAGATATTATCCTTTAACTATTACAATAGCTGAGAATGGCCTTCATCTTTGTCGCCTCTCTAAATTCAGGGCTAAACGCGATAATTTATGCACATATCATCAACGTATTGTTTTCTATGTACATACAATATGATTTTATTTATGTCTACAATTTTATTTAAATATATTTCCACTAATTCTGTCTACATTCCGATTTTTTATCCAGACGTCTCGTTAGCGATTTTGCGACGTCAACAAAATGTGTTTCCTATTCTTATATGTGTTTGTTACGTAATATTTGCGATTTATGATATGACAATATCTCGGATATCTCTTCTACGTCGAGTAATAGAACGTGATCGTGTTTTAACAAAATTTTCAGTATGAATCGCGTGACTGAATCATGCTCACGCGCGTGATAGTGATGCAATAAATGACGCGATGGCGCGCGATGCCTCTCTAGCCAATGAAGGCGCAGGTGCGGAGCATGTACCGAATTTTTTCAAAAAATGAATGGGCATTCTCTTCCATTACGCGACTCTTTCATAATTACTTTCAATATTGCGTCCAATGAATAAAGGTGTACCGTGCATTAACAGTTGGAAAATTGATTATTCTTGAAAGTTGAGATTTTGAAAAGATGCAATATACGGTACTGAATTAGCATTCTCGACTTTATCGATGACAATCGATGGTCGATGATCGGTAATCCGGCACAAATAGGCTTAGCCGAGTATTAAATATGTATGAAACGTGATGTCGCGAAATTGACGTTTCTTTACTTTGTTGACGCGTCTCGCGGATAAGTCGAATTTATAAAAACTTTAAGCAAACAAATTTGACTTGAGTATCATAAATTATTTGTTATTCATAATTATTTAATTTGAGTATCAAATTATTGTTGATAAATTATTGTTGTTATTTAAAAATAGTTAGATATCGTATAGATCGTATAAATAGTATCTAATATAAATAATAAGTTGTCAATGGCACCGGTGAATTCTTAATGTCTTAAGAAACTTCTAATCTCTTAAGAAACTTCTATAGTTTAAAGTTTTTATAAATTTGATCGATATCCACGAAAAACGTCAACATCGCGTCAACAAGCAACGAAATGTCAATTTTGCGATATCACGCTTCATACATATTTAATACTCGGCCTAAGCTACTTATGCCGAATTATTGATTATCGACCATTTTTATTATCATTGATAATGTCAAAAATATCAATTGAATATTGCATATTATTTTAATAAAAATAAAATATGATTTTCCGTAATCGTAAGCTCAAAATATATATGAGTGACTTGCGTCTTCGAAAATATATGGAAATAAACTTTGCATGGGAATGAACTATCGAACAATCATAATCTCTCTTTCAATCATTATAAAATCTGAATCTTACTTTCATAGTATATACACAATAATCTAATTTTAAACTATTATACATTCTTACCAATAAAATGCAATTTTATCTCCATGTCCACTCTTTACAGCCTTATCGAGCAAATTGAAGCTGATATTCGTCGTCGCTCCTTCCATCCATTTTATGAAAACATCACCTTTATCTACATTAAAATTATATGTGAAATACTTGTCCTCTATCGCTGGCGTTTCCCAATAAAATTGCTTCGCAATTTCACTCCAGAATTTCACTGGATCCTCTATGGATCTAGAAAGAAAACAAATTTGTCTCAATATGAGTTATTTGTCTCATTAGAAGCAATTCACACTATCGGTCGATTCACACTCCGCTCACGGTCCGATCATGGTCTGATCAAATATTTTTCCATTTTTATAAATGTCGACAGTTGAGTGTTATCCATAATATAAATACGTACATTTATAAACAATGGAAGAATATTTGATCGGACCGTGATCGAATCGTGAATGGAGCGTGAGCGAACCGATAGTGTGAATCGATCCTTATTCTTTGATTCATTCCGTGATATATGAAAACAATCGATAATTTATTATGATTTATTGATATGTAATCATTATAAAAGTTGAACGTCACTATTGGAGTAAGAGCCAATAATTTCGAGTTTAACGAATTATCGATTCAGTTTTCTTACATAACTTTTCATTCCGTTCTATTTACAAATTTATGCATGTTTGGTAAACCGCAAATTATGCACATCGTTATTACACATTATTTACGCATTAATTAAGTGAGTTCGCAGTCCAGTGGAATAAATTATGAATGAAACAAACAGGTCATAAGCCGAAATTGTAGCCGATATTTGGAACTAGTTTTCTCATTCAGGAAAGGTTCCACTACTCGCAAGAATTCTCGCTATAAAATTAATCGAATCGAATGATGAGAAATTCGATTAACGCGGTTGCCCGAGAGAAAGAGCAACGCTTATCGTTAAGTTTTTAATACTGTTCGCGGAGAAGAAATTAATACTGTTCGCTTGTTCCTCAAACTGAGAATTTGTCCCACCCCTGCAGGATCGATACCGCGCTTCTCTATTCGTGTCGTTTATAAAGCGACCAGGTAAAGACTCGGGATCAATTTCAATGTCCGAAATCATCCTTCAATTCATCTACCACGCAATTCTCAGCATTGTACGTACAAAAATGCAATATCTTCCTTCCTGGATAATTAATAATCTCGAAGCTCATCTTTGGGGCATTTCGAATTTACGAAGATTTATTTCTTTATCTTTTATCGTCGCTTCTAAGTCTGAGAAATGAATATTAATGAATAAACATGATTCGACGTCATTATTCGTATACTTTTTACATCTCACATCGCATTTTTAATACGACACATGATTTCGACTCGATTTTTCAATTTTCGAATTCGATACTCAAGAGAACGTGGTAAAAATAGTATTTGTGAAAATTTTATATTTTTATACTCACTTTCTATGCATCTCCCTGTACTGTTCCATGCTACTGCAATGCGATCTTTTCACGATCTCCGGATTGGGGTAGTATATTTTATCCGCCATGTTTTTCAACCCTTTCGCTTCCTTTCGGCTTCTGTCAAAATTCAACGATCCAATTGAGGGATAATCAGAGATAATAGAAATAAAATAAACCGCTGTCAGCGACTCGTGTCGATCGAAAAGAAATGCTTGATGTATGAAATGCTTTATATCGGTGATGGAATTGCGGAAGATCGTCCGAATAGCCGGAAACGAGCTTGCGCGACTTTACCGGCTCGGCTGGTAAAACGCGACTGATTCCACTTGTACCACATTGAACTCTATATATATGTAACATGACAATGAGCTCTAGCGCTCCGACGCGATCCGAGGGAGAGAACAACATCGGCGTCTCTCTTTCTCGATGCGATATAATTAAAGAGCTCATTTTACATTTCACAGCAAGAAATGTTATTTTTATATTTCATTCCAGTTTTGGTTATTTATATTTTACCTTTTTCGCCTTATTTATAACGACACTTGCTATAAATCTTTGCATTTTTACTACGCGTGCGCTTAGAGAAAAAAACACTCTCTCTCTTTCTCATGATCACTTTCCTTATACGAGGATTATTGTGTGAAAAATCATGTCGGAGACTCAAAATACTATGTGACTGAAATGCATACGAAATTATGATATAATTAAACATCATCTTTCTTTTGTCCAGCTTAATAAATGACTTGCTAATTTATTAATTTATGAAATCTTGTAAATAATTTTCATCAGGGTCGATCGAATTTAATCACTAATAAATTGAAAATTATCGTTATATCTGAATCGGCACATTTAATTCTTCAATTAATTAATTTAATTATTCATTGTGTAACTCTTAATTTGAATGATATTCATAAATTTGCTCGCGATGAATAAATATTTATTATTTATGCACACACCTGCATAAAAAAAAATGTAAGACGATCGTAAACATTTATTTATGTTAATTAATTCTGTGGCTTACCATCGAATCAAACCCACGCAGGATGCAAAGAATATTAATATTATACATTTTATACAATATTTAATATTATACATTTACATTTTATACCTTTTACTTCGGTTTACCGTTAATGCTAGCTCCTAGAGAATTTTTAAGGGCTACAAACATAATCCCAAATGGTGACAGAAATTCCTAATTTGCCGACCAGCTTATTCCATAGAATAAAAAGAGACGAAGATGGACGAAACAATATTTTAATAGCGACGTCATTGGTTGTTCAATATTTGCGGCTGGTTTCCTGATTGGCTGCCGCTATTTATTCATGAATAATAACATCTTGTTGTTTTTATGCGTCATGCTTGATTCACGCGATGAAATCACTATGCTTTTTTGCCGGTTCTTAAATATTTTAAATGCCAGATGTCATATTTCCGCTGTTAAATCTAACCGTGAAATTGAATAACGACGAATTTCTTGTATCAATGTACGAATATTAATGAATATTGTTGTCTGCAATCAATGAGAAATTTGTACGAGACTGGATTATGTATTGTTTAAAATATCGTAGAAAAAAATATATAAATAGATGTCGATAATACTTTGATATATGGAAACAATTTCAAAGGTATACTCAAACATGCATTATCAATCTTATGATGGTGAAGAATTTGAACCAAGAATTATACCAAAACCGGCAACAAAACTCGACGTAAGTGTCCCAACAATAGTTTATTATTTTCTTAATACGTATGTATAATTTGAAGATATTAAATTTAATCGAAGATAATTTTTACAGTGCTTTGCAGTGCCAACTGTCCCAGAAGTATCTTTAATCTTTGAGAAACCAATAGTACGAAATCTGAATGATGGATGCCACAATTCATCATCAGTAAAATCATTAAAACCAACACAAGTCTTTGATAATATTGACATTAATGTGGAACGCATTAATTCCGCATCACCTATTTCATACAATCCTAATTCTTATGCAGCATGGAGAGAACAGAATTATACTCGAGAAGCTAATTCTAGAAATACAATGCATGTTTCACCATTATGTAAAAATATTCATAGCTGTAATCATACATTGCAATCAGATGCTTTTGTACAAAATCAACAAGAGCAAGATAAAATTTGTGATATGCCAAAACAAGCGGTAAATGTAAGGACCAATGATGGAAAATATGAGAAGTGTGTAAAATTTACATGTCCTGATACAAGAAATTCTTATAGAGATCTTGATAGAGAGACCTCTTCATCACCTACAAGCAGGAATTTCTCTTGTAATTCTGTACAAAAAGCAAACTTTAATGTATCTGATCATAGCACAGGAATATCTAACAAAGCTATTCCAGGTACTTTGAAAGGAACTGAACATTTACAAACGCCATACCACACTGGATATCAGCAATTTCATGTATCTAATCACTCAAATTGTAATATGGACAATAATGAAACAGTGAAAACTTTATTACAAATTGTAAACAGTCAGAGTGAACAGATAAAAAATTTACAATTACAAATAGATAGACTGGTAAGAATGCAGGAAGAAAGTCTTAGGAATAAATCAACATGTTCTTGTTCATCAACTCTTGCAAATCAAGTATTAAACTATCCATCAATAAATTGTTATGACACTACCCTTAGTTCCTCTCTTGTACCATCTCAAAACAAAGATATGAAGAAAAGTGAGGGTACACAGAATACATCTGCTATTGAAAAGAAAGATTTAAAAATTTTTGGTGAAAATAATAAATTGGAACAGCAATCAAAGAAAACTTTTGTGGAACAAAAAGTTTCGATTGGCGTTATGACAAGTTTTGAATTTACTGTACAAAATAGTCCATTTATGATAGATCCTGAAATATATGAGAAAAAAGAAGTTTGTAGAGAAAGTAACAATATTAATAGAAGAAATGCTGTAAATATGCCAGATACAACAGAGCCTGTTAAAAGATATGCATTTACGCGCAAAACTGGAGCAGCACAATTGGAAAATATAGTTGAGGATTCAGAAAGTCATTTATCCTCTAACCAACAGCAAAGTAGTAATTTTAATGTGAGTTCTTCCGTGAGAGATTCAGAGAGACATACTTTAAAGGAATCAGATGTATATAATGCAGCTAATACTTCAGAATTTTCAAAAATGTATCAATATCCTACTACATGCTTAAATCAGAAAGAAATGCATAAAGGAATTTACATAGAGGAAGATGATAACACGAATCAACAAATGAAGGATACAAGAAAAATGTTTAATGAGTCTCTAAATGTAGAATGTAGTCCTAAAAATATGAATTATAACAGAAGACTTGAGAAAAATGATTATATTACTATAAACAAGGAAAAAAATGCTGCTAACATGAATACTAATAAACATTTTGTGCACAATACTCATTTGTCTGTGACAGATTACTATCAGAATCATAGAAATAAGAAACATGATACTAATATTAAACAAATTAATGATGTAGGTGACAGTATGATACTCAGTGGAGGTGATCTTAAAGTACTTGAAAGACCACCACCAACTCCTGAACCAAGTATTCATGTTGAGATGCAAGAATATACAAGCGATGACGAGAGTGATAAATTAAAACATACTCCAAAAATAGGCTGGACATTCTACGACAATGTTTTAGGACAAGTCAATGAAATTTTACAAAATTCTAGTGTTATGGATAAAAATAAAAATGAGAGTAACACTAAGATGGTTTGTAAAGGTGAGCAAGAAAATGATATGGAACCTAGAACAGCATTGAATACTGTTAAAGCAGCCACTTTGGAACAACTTCGTAAACTTGGGATCAGTTTAACTGACAATGAATATAGAGAACCAAATAGCAATAATAAAACGTATGTATCAATTTATATATATATATATATATATATATATATATATATATAATTTTTTTGTATATATTTTATTTACAAAAGTAAATTTGCATGTTAAGCATAAGAATTATTTTAGAAATAAAAAATTCTGATATAAGTTTGAATAATTTGTTTGAAAATTATACCAAACTAGCTTATTGTAATTTTTAATACATGAAGTAAATACATAGTTTTTTTTTTTATATATAGATTCTTTTTGGATGTATATATATATATATATATATATATATATATATGTATTTATATATAATATAAAGGTATAAGTAATTGTGTAATTTTTTCCCAAGGTTAGATTTTGATTCATCTTTTTATCCTCGCTTGGATCGTCAAGCAAATATGATACATACTACTAGTGTTGTAAATGAAACAAATACAAGTATGCACATGAAAGCTTTAGCATTAAAATATTTAAGCGATGAGCAACTAGCCGATATAGCAATGCATAAACAAGAATCGTCTTCATTGAAGCATCTCATGGTCAGTAATATGCAAGGCACCAATATGTCGCTTGCTACAATGCGTTATTTAGAAAGATATAAAATTTTGCCAGGCAAAAATAACATTGAAATAGAAAGTAAGTATTAAAGAATTAATTAAAGCAAATACTTTATAATTTAAACACGTAATTTAATACATAGCAATGTTTATATATAAAACTATATAGTATGAGTAATTTAATGATGCTAATATATGCCTAATAATTATTATTATTTAATATGTAAAATATAAATTTGTGTGTATGCATGCTACAAATTATATTCATTTATTTATGTTTTAGATACTGATCAAACATTTGATGAAGTGGCACCTAAACATGATTTTAAACCAGTAGCTGGAAAAAATAATCCTACACTACGTCAATTCCCTTTTGTACAAACACCTGGTACCACTTGTCCGAGCAGAATATTAGATCTCTCGACTTTAAAAAGACAACCAAAATTATTATAAATTTAAAATTAACATATATTAACATGTGAGCAATATATTTATTATAAACGACATTTTTATAAAAATTTTATAAGAAAAAGAACAAGAAAAAAGCATTTAAATTGATATAATAAATGATTTAATTAAATATAGAGAGTGATTCTCAACATTTTGGCGTTAATGCTATAATTTTCAGGTAACGTTTTATATTTTATCATTGAAATCCTTAGCCTAGACTCAAACCTGATTTAGCAGAGACTCAAACCCTGCTTGGAGAAGATTTAGCGACATAGCAGAAATTGAAACCCCATCTGGTGGAGATGGGTGGAGATCTAAATCTTTTTTTCAGTGCATATCATTGCTCGTATATCGTCGTATGTTGCTATAAACGTTATCTGTTACCGTATAATCTTTTGGAAATAGTGGAGCGATTATCTCGCACAAGCTCAAGGTAATTATATCTGATATGTATAATTCACATTTTATGAGACACTATTATTTAATAAAAAAATGTTGGACTATATTATTATAACAATGTGTCAAATCTGCGATTTGAAAATTCTTTTCTAAAACAGACCATTTGCTTTTTCAGATGATCACGGACGTACAATTAGCCGTATTTTGCAACATCCTGGGAGTTGCGCTATTTTTCTTAGTCTTTCTCTTCCACTACATAAATGCCAATTATTCGAAATAAGGAGAGAAGCAAAATTGTCATTTAAAGTTTACCTAATGTAACATAACCTGCGTTATTAAATTGACAACATGTATGTCTCTCTTCCACGTTGACCATAATGTTCAATAAATATGTCATTTTGCAACTTTAAAATATTAAGGCATTACGTATCATACACATACTATAGATTATAGATAGAAATTATACAATGTTTTTTTCATGTTTTTAGAACATAAATTCTATAGTTTCTTTTATTTTATCGCATTTTATCTTTCTTTATAAAATTTTATTTTTAAAGTAGGCAAACAGATAAAGAATTTTCATCAAGAACAATATTATGTAAACATACAATAATTAATTTTTTTCAGAAGTTCTTCAACTATATGTCAAATCTTATAAACAGCAATGTACGTTCATCAATCAGTTTTAATTATTACTTCACAATATATTTTGAATACATTTTTCATATCATTAAATTATCATATTTCAGGTTGAGTGCTTAAAAAGAACTGAAATACAGTTGTAGGTGTTTGCTTAGCATAACACACATGTGTGTGTGATTTAAGTTTTAAATAATTTTCCATACTTGATGCGGAAGAAGAAACTTTGTATACCACCTTGTGTGTGGAAAAAAATATTACTTCTCTAATTTATCAAATCAATCAAAAATGCTACACGAATTGTACAAGTCAAATTTATACTTTTTTTCTTAAAAATGCAATCGAATACAATATATATAGTAGAGGAGCAGAGGAAAAGTGGGAGTAAATCCTACCTTTTATTAACATACAAGGTAGGGGACCGTCGTAATACGCGTTAAAATAACACTCGAGCTTCTTCAAATGTGGATTCATTTGCGTCACATTTGTAAGCTTCGCGGGCACTTTAGTTTCACGGGGAATGTCGTTTAGCTTGAATGTTTGTGTCGTTTATATATTGAAATGCAACGCAACTTTATTATTAAACGTGCATGTTTTAAAGATTAACATTTAAATATATGTTGGACACAATCTTGTGAAAGATTTGTAAGGTGCTTATTTTACATATTTATATTTATGTGAATTATCTCTAGGTAAATCCTTTGGATTTGAAGTATAAATCAGTTATTGAATTTCGGATTTAATAAGTTACTCAGCTAGTAATCAACTGAAAATGAAGAAAATAACAAATGAAGTGAAAATGAAAAAATAGAAAGTATTCGTTGTCATTTTTATCCCATAAATCCGAGTACTTTTCATTCAATGTATCTTGGGTGGATAATGCGTACATCTTCTATCAGAGTCGACGGAATGTTGTTGATATTCTTGTTATCTTTTTGTGCAATTACTATTCATGGATTAATTTTCCAACAAGCTCTGAATATTGCTGAATGCTTAGTGGCATGTAAAAATGTAAGTCAAATTAATCAATTATCATTTTATTCTTTCGATATAATATCGATGTATTTATTTTATTTATTTTAGTCTAGTATTTTTGCCATACAAATACAATTTATCCAAAAATATGTATAAATTTATTTAAAATATTTCATTTATCTTATTTATTTAAAAATACTGGTAAAACTAAAAAACAAGGTAAATCATATCATAAATGTGATACTCTGTCTGGTATAATATCCTATTTGACATGTTTTATTTCAATAATATACCATGCAATTTGTTTATCAATGATCTACGATCTATTCACACTAATTTTCAATACAAAATTAATGGAAAATCGGTGCGACGTATTGTACTTTTATACGTAATTTTATATCAGAAAAATGATAACGAGTGTTACGAGAGTAAAAATTCGCCGCGATATCAAACATAAAATTCAATGTATGTCGCGACGATATCAAGATATAAAGACGCTTATATATAAAACAGCGAAGTATTTGTACTCAATAAATAAGCTGTCGAGAGAAATGCTACTGGCTATTATTTCTAAAATTTATTGCGAAACTATTAATGGAATCGAATGTATCCCCTTTTTAATGAATTCTTCTTCTTTGGCTAGGAATTTACCTACGTCGAGTCTGTACCTATATATATTCTTACATTCATGAAATAAACATATGTTCAACAATACTGTACACATTTTAGATATTCGTTTTAACACTTGTGTCAATATAACAAAACCTGAAAAGTAGCTATACGATCGTATTCATCTCGATAAAAGTGATATTGCATTACTCGGTTGTTTCCAATATGTAGATTAAAAAAACAAATTCTTTCACATTTAATCGTGGTAATAATGATTTTGCATTCGCCTACAATATTTCACGACCGTACATAACATATTAACATACACACAATAGTAATATTATATAAAGCATTAGAACTCTCGCGGTTTTTTAAAAAAATATAAAAAAAATATACTAAACAATGTAATAGTTTCAAGTTAAACTGCATCGTAAATGTATATTGAACTATATTGAAAGAGAAAAGTACTAAAGTGGCAGACAGCAGACTGCATAATGTATGAAGTTGCTTTAACCCAGGTAGCAAGATGACGTCTAAAGATGTCTTCAAGACGTCTTAAAGACATTATAGACGTCTTTAAGACGTCTTTAAGACGTCTTTAGACGTCATCTTGCTACCTGGGAAACGTGTTTATCTCCTTTTTCATGTTTCTCTGTACTTGTGGAAAGTCACACGAATTAAAAATTAAAACTGAAAACATTTAAAAAAACCACATATCTTTTTTCTTCGTACAATTTTTAATGATAAAAATTAACGATATAAATTATACATTTAAACGGTACTTGGTGATAATGAATTGATGGCGCATCGGATAGCGCTATTCCATCCACGCATTTTCACTTACCATTTAAACGCAGGTCAAATTAATGCAGTCTCTCTCTCTCTCCTTCTTTCTCTCTCTTTCCCTCTCTAAAGACGTGTACGAGGTAAAAAGTTTTGTAAAAGTTTCGATTTGCGTATTGATATTTGTCGTAAGGTTTGACGACAATCGCATATTGATATGTACTGTCGCTCGTATGTATCGCGTAAAAAAAATAAACGCGACTTATAGCAGGATTCTGTAGTCTGATCGTGACATTCCGCGTGTTTTTTATTTCACTCATCTCTCGCTTTCAATTTACTTATTAAAATATATTAATGCAAATTTTCATTTCAAACGCGACATATAAATGAGACTTCAACCGGTTATCAACTTCTCGGGGAGGGGATTGCGATATATTTTAAGTATCATTTAAAACCTTAGAATGTGCGCAAAGTGACCGAGAACGATCGTTTGTGATGTCCGTCTAGTGTTCAAAAATACATCTCACTGAATATTTGCCAAAATCTCGTTGCTTATTATCGTGACACACGTGATGTTGAAATTGGTCGTTTGATAAATATTTCGAAAAAAATTGAAAAAAAAATGCGATATTGGAAATTGCAAAATAATATCTTCATATGTTGCTACGTAACAGGTATGATTTTGTCTGTCTGTTATAATGCGCATCAATTATTTGTCATCTTTCAGGAGTCATGTCGAGACAGTTGTCCGCAACCTACGGATAAATTTGAGCGTAAGTTAAATAATATAATATTATAAAATTATAAGACGATTAATAATGTATGATCGAAAAAATTTCAAATATTTTGTTCCTAAATATTACATTAAAATTACTTTACGATAGCGTCTCCGACAATAAACGAAGAAGCTAATGCAAACGTTAGTTTGCACTGCAGAGGAACAAACTCGCTAATAATTAAACATACTCCTGGGATCTATGTTATTGAACAAATCGTTTCTGCTGATGCATGGGATATAACTATAGTGGTAAATGTTTTTTGCGATTATTAAATATGTACAATTAATTATACAATTAATTTAATTAATACGACTAATTACACAATTAATCTATTAGTTATTTGATACATTACAAGTCTTATTTTTGACAAAAAAAATAATTGTGATATATAATAATAATATAAGAGTTGCAATAGCAAAAGCGGTCTTAAATAGTTTAGATATGTATATTAAATCTCGAGAGTCCTGAGACGTATACTTGTATGAAGTATCAAGATAAGTTAAATTTATAATTACGATGCGTTAGAGTGTTTGATATTCGCACTTTTAATCGCTCAAAAGTCAAATAAATATTAAATTTCTTTATATTTACATAGAACGTGTTGTATCAATTTATACGGCAAAGTTTTACAGAAATGAATTTTCTAGATTGTAAAACATTTTTTAAAAACATCTTTTGTATCTCTTTTAAGATAAATTTCTTTTGTAGAGTAATGGCGAATTATCGGCATTTTCAAATTTAACAGCGGACACGCGTTATCGTTATCGTTTATACAGATTAACACAAAATGGAGTTTCATTAGCCGAAACGTCGGATTGGTTTTCAACTTATGCAGGTATTAATTTTCTGAATCGATATCTCTCAATGAATTATATTATTATAATTCTAGATATTCAATATTTATTTTACAATACACTATTTATTTATTTATACTCATTAGACTTGATTGATTTTTGCAGTTGATTATGAACCACGCAAAATTGATCACATTTTACTTTCAAAGATCCAGGAACAAAGTAAAAATGTGTGTGAATTACAAGCGGAAATTATTTTTGAGCCTGCTGAAGGTACATAATATTGATATACATCTAATAATTTATTATTATATCTACATATATTGTGAAATTATCTTTTAGATCGAAGCTGCAATTACAATGTATTATTTTGGGCCGGGGAACATAACTTGATCAATTTTGAGTTAAGAAAGGTAAGAATGTTTATATATTGATATAAAAGTATTGTTATTTTAACTTTATCAAATATTATTCATGTATCTTTTTAGTCTTTAGATTTCCGCTTTTTTCTCAGACATTTACGATACGAGCAAAACAATAGCGTATCGATCCAATCGGGTAATGATAACTTTTCGAAAATCAGTAATGCAACGACATTTACTTTTGTTACACCATCATGCTTGGAAGTTCACCGCAATTTAAGTATCTGCGGTAAGTTATAAAATAAGAAAGAATAAAAACTCGAAGCTAAAATAATTTAAATGTATTACTAATTAATGTTTTTTTTCTGATTGTAGCACCTGAAAAAGTAAAGGGTTTGCAAGTAAAGCATATTCGAAGACATCAAGGATTATACGATATCGCAGTCAGCTGGAATGAACCCATTTTACAACCGGACAATTACACATTACAATTTGATTCGTTTCGATATGAACCGCATCTGTTGACTGTATCTGGAGTTAGTATTATCGCAGTAACGATTTCTACAACTCCACTGGAAAATAATATAAATTTAAAATTATTTTTCTCTCTAGGACGCACTCGAAGCTTTCTTCCTGAATGTCGAAGTAGAATCGCAATATGAAATCAGTATCGTAGCAGAATCAATGGGTGGCATAAGTTTACAGTCAACTGTATCGGGAAATATCGATGAAGTAATAGGTAAATATACGCAATGATCATTTAAATTAATTACATTAAATATAAATTTCGATATAATAATTGTAGAACTATCTTATCGCGAGATTATCGTAGCATTACCGGCATTAATAATCATTACGGTGGTATTTGGGGTGATTTGTATGCAGCATCGTAAAAAGAAGAATAAACAAATTAACATGGAATATATGCATTTTGAGGTAAGTTCAATGTCGACAATCTACTTTAAAGTTCAATACCTGAATTAATTTCGAGATACATATTCACAGATACATTTTTCTGTCTGTTACATAAGTTTATAATTTAACATTAGAATGTTTAAACAGATTTATTGCTGTTGTAATTAATCTTTCTTATTGATGCATTTATTGAAATAATTATCTGAAACTTTGGGATTTTTCGCATTCAATAGGATTCTATAGATTCTCTAAAGAAACCTTTAAAACGAGATTACGCAATCGAGAATAAAGATATTCTTTTGCCATACGATAAATTTGAGCTTAATTCACAAAAGTTGAAACTTAAAGGTGTGTTGGGCAGTGGAGCGTACGGTATTGTTAGACTTGCCTCGTTTCAAGATGAATTCGGCGTTATGACAGATGTAGCTGTTAAAATGATGAAAGGTATCATGAAACAAAGATATAATACATATATACGACGGAATATTTACATAAAGTTTAAAAAATATATTAAATTTTTATACACATATATATCTAATGATGTAAAATGTATCAGAATGTGTACATGTAGAACACAATCTTATTCCTTTACGTAGACGATCCAACGGTAGAGGATATAAAAAGCTTTCAACAAGAAATTTCAATAATGAGGTCCGCTGGTCAGCATCCGAACATAGTATCTTTAATCGGATATTGCACTTTATATAATAAACCTTTACTAGTAGTGGAGTATTGCAGTAAGGGAGATCTGCAAACGTATTTAAGAACGGTGAGCTGTTCAAAAATATAGAATAAAGAGATGCATTAGAAGTTTGTTCAAATTAATAAATAATCGCTTTAATTTTTAATTATTTATATGTAGAAAAAAAATTCCATTTTGAATTTCGTTTTCAGATTTGGCAGAATTTAGTAAATGCCGTATTCGAACGTAGGACACATTTGAAATTCGAACCGCTGTCCTTTGCCAATAAAGGCAGATATCAAGGTTTTAAGATACATACATACATACATATATTATACAAATTATTTATAAAAATAATAAAAATTCAGAATATTTATCCTACAAGCTTTTTTTTATCACATGTATAGGAAAGAGCGAATCTTTTTGTGAGGGCGCACGCACAATCACCAATCGCTTATATGATATTCAACAAGGTAAATTACATAGATAATTAATTTAATTGAATATTCAGATAACATACATATATAATACAATTCTTCTAATATTAATTAATTCTGACAGATGTAATAAAATACACAGAGAATGTTACTTCCGCTGATTTACTGAATTTCGCTAGACAAGTAGCCACAGGAATGGTAAGTTATGCCAATTAATAATTTATTAATAATTATATATATGTGTATCATTACACATACAATTATATATCATTATATATCATAATTATATTTTCTTAAATTGTAGTAAATACAAATTACGACAATTTACAAAATATTATAAAAATTTTATAATAATAAAAGTTTTATAATAATTTCATACATCATGGTATTTACTTTTTTAATTTTACTGTTTCGCATCAAAATAAAAATGTTTAGGAATTCTTATCTTCCAATCGGATAGTACATCGTGATTTGGCTGCTCGTAATGTATTAGTGCGATCGGATAGAGTGGTGAAAATTTCAGATTTTGGTCTGAGTCGCGATATCTATCAAGAGAATGTTTATCGAAAGAAGGGAAATGGTAAATTACCTTTAAAATGGATGGCGATCGAGGCTTTAACGCATCAAATATATACTACTTATAGCGATGTGTAAGCATTTTATTTTATATTGTCAGATTATAATATACATTATTATATGCCATTTGTTTCATTTATAATAAAAATTGTATTATAGATGGGCTTTTGGCATTTTGTTGTGGGAAATAATCACCTTAGGTGCCATGCCATATCCTGGGACTCCCACAAATAGAATTTTACAACTTCTAAAATCTGGATATCGAATGGAAAGACCACCAAACTGCGGTCGAGAACTGTATGTATATATATATTACATTTTTTCTCTAAATTCTATAATTCCCAAATATATATGTATATTTTTTTATTTTTTTTTTACATATAGATATGATATAATGTATTCGTGTTGGAATCTGAGACCGCAAAGTAGACCGACTTTTACCGAATTGAAACAAAGCTTAGACAAATTGCTCAGTAATTATTCAGAAAATAAATACTTGAATCTATATGAGATTCTACATGAATCAGCTGACGAAATAAACAAGGCAAGATCGCTCAATGCATAAATAGAATTAAAATAATAGTATTATAATAATAATAGAAGCAGCACAAGTATATTAATTAACTCGTCAAATTATGTGATTCAAAATATTCATATCATGTGCAAAATCGTTTATTTTCTAATCATATATATGATAATCTGTGGTAAATTCTTTCCTATACATGTGTATTTACAATATGTTGTTTACAATTTTGAAAATTTTGAGATAAAACATCAACTTAACTAAAGCTCTTTCATTCGCAGTTAAATTAACAAATTCTTTATACACAATACAGTGCAATATATTTAAAAGTGGTGGTAACTTATTAATGTAATATACATTATTCTCACCATTTTTTTTAAAGATAGGATCGACGAGTCATGCGCACAGATAAAATACTACTAATTATATATCTTATTATCATTACCAAATGTAAACAGAAAAATCTTAATTATTACTTCATACATTCATTATAAATTTAATTACAAATAAATGCATTTCTATGTAATATATCATTGCTATTACCATAAAATTAAAAAATTAATTAAGTTTATTCTGCTTTATATTTGCTATATGTACACGATCCAATCCATCAAATTTAAAATGCAAAAATGTATACGTATATTGATATATGACAAGAACAATATAATTTGCATTCATATATAAAATCTTTCTATATTATTTCATTGCTGTTTTGAGTTATTAATACAATATTATATCGATTGAGTATTAGCAATTGATATGAAAGAAAGAAACATTGTTCAGACAAGATCTAAATGTAAAGATATCTAAAAGATGCTTTAATGTTTCCGTCCTTTTCTTCTTCTTCGATAATTGTTTTTTCAATAATATCTTTTATATAAGTGTTTTTAGCAAACTCATTAATATATTTATATATATTAATAAAGAGTCTTTTTCATAATATCATCAGACGTTATCGCTTTTTACATAATCTTCAAAATAATAATTAACTTAAATCTTTTTCGAAAAATTGTAGAATAAATAAATAGGTAAATAATCTGTTCAATAATAAATATTCTGCAATTTTTGGCAACTTGAATGGAACTCTATCGTATGTAATTGTAAAATATTAAAAAGGTGGAGACAAAAATTGACATATATTAAATAATTATAATGATATAAATAGTATATATTTTTTTAATATTAAAGTATACATAGTAATGTATATTTCAAGATAGTAAATAGCAAGACATTCAAAATTCAAGATACGTTTGAATCGCGATGGTTATCAAGCATACAATCGAGAATACCTTCTGATTTAAAAATATGTGATATCGTCTCAAAATAATATGTATACTGTAAAAACTTTTGCATAAATAAATATAATTTTTTTCATACAAATTTTATATTCTGATAATACGAGTTAAAAAAATGTATTTTTCATCATGAATGAATATATTAGATAGGAATATTTTCCAATTCTTTAATTAAATATTTTCTAATTCTTAAATGTATTTATGTTAATCTCTTTTTCACATAGCTTTTTTCTAATATTTTTCTCTCATAAGGACGTGCTCAATTTCATAAGTACATTTTATATTTCTGACTGCTTAGAATGTGACCAATGAAAATGTAATTTTTGCAGTGGTAAGACTTAGAATGTACCACTATCTTTTGTTATATGTATGCGTCACAATTAACATGCTATCACAGAGAAAGTTGTTGCATTACTACATATGAATTCTTGTTGGTTTTATTTTTTTTCTTTTTTTTTTTTTGATTTTACTGCAAATTATTACATAAAACTTACTCATAGTATTCTCGAAATTTTTTTTTACATATAAACTCATGGTTAATCTAGTTAAAAAATAAACATCTCATAATATTCCGTATCATATATATGTAGATATCTCTAAAGATATGAGAATTGGTTAAGATAGATGTATTTCTTCGTGTAATAATTTTTTCTTAATAAAAATTCAAGTAAAGATGTAATTAACGAGTAATTAAGCTTAAAAATTGAATTATAAAATAATCTTAATTATTAATTACATATAAGTGTGAAAACATGATTATGTCAAAACCGGAAAAGAAAATATAAATCACAATAATATTATTTTAATCTTAATTAATCGGTACTTACTTCTTCACTTAGATTTTTAGATACAGAAAAAAGTCGATTTTTTCGAATTCATCTCAAGCAATACTCAAATTATATTTTTTTAATACCCTGCGGACAAACTTACAAATATCTTTACTGTAAATCCATTTAAATCAGACACATAACGAAATATCATATTACACTGCCGAGATAAAAATTTGTCCGAAAACTCTCTTGTTTGATGTAATAAAGTGTCTGTTGGAATATTATAATTTTATCTATATATATATATCTATACTTGTATTATCTTAAAAACTGACAGCTTAAGTTTTATAATTACATTATATACTACGACTCATATATAAATGTAATTAAAGAACGAAATATATTATATAATCCTATCATATAAAGATTATACAGCAAAAACAATATTTGATTAATAAATTTCTTTCTTTAAGAAGCCAAAAATCACAGACAATGTAGTCTCTATACCGGTATTTTGTTTACCGATAGAAAATCTCTTAGACTCAGTACACATTCTCACTGTCTTTTGTACCACTTACGATGCTACCTATATCAGATGCTATCATTTCTATTAATTAAATTATCTTCTTTGTCTACCGGTGGGGGGCCCGCGGTCAAAGTTGCACTTGGCCCCGCTGTTAAGTAGCCAGCGGATACAGGCGTTGCCGCTAATAACAATGGAGCAATAGAAAATTTTAATTAGCGAAAAAATTTATATTTTTATATTATAGTGAAAAGCTATATATGGGTATATTTTACCTGTAAGATAACCAGAATTGGTATTATTAGAAATAAACAGATCATGTCGTTGATCCTTATACTCGGCCCATACACTCGATTTTTCCAAAATAGCATTAACTTTTTCACCAAGAAGTAAACTTTTTGTCATGGCTTTTAAAGCTTTTACTATTTGTGCTTTAGTTGTGGCAGGATTCTCAACAATATCTAATCGTCCTTCTAATATATTTAAAAGATATGGTACCATTTCGGCGTCCAATGCCTGCATGTAGTAACAAAATATTGTACCTAATATTTCTAAACACGGTGTATTTTAACGTGTAATTACGTAACGAGTGCATACGTCTTTACCTGCTTAATAAGTCTATCTTCATTTGTCGAAAATAATCTGTTCAATGTTTCACATGCCACTGCAATCATGTCTCTTCTCGATTGCATCGCATGCTTTAACGGGCTTATACAATCTGTTTGACATATGGACGAGATACAAATCTGTGCAAGTATAAATCGAAAACGAGAATTAGAAATGTATAATTATAAATATAATTATCATATGCACGTGCACACATACAAAATCAAAGAGACTTACTTCGCTCGTAGCTAATTGATGTAGAATTAATATAGCTGTTTTATATACTGATGGCTGACTGTTTTGGATAGCCATCTGTCGACAAAGACGCGGTATATGACCCAAGGATGGTACTTGGTCTGCCAAAGTAGGTTGTGCTTGGAGTAAACATACAAGAGCCTGGGTCGTTAATTCCAACATATCCGTCTAATAAAAATATAAATCCACATAATAATGTATATTGACAAAATTTCTAATATGTGCGTTTTAATTCATTCAGTGTTAATTCATTTTATAAAATTTACATCAGTCTTTTCCTTGGACATCAGCATTAGTGTGGTATCCATCAGTTCACTTAAGAATTCTTTTGGTTTCCTAAGTGCCCAAGCAGGACTGGCTATGAATAATCTAAGATATACTCCACCTACGACAGGTTCGTTGGTCGCGATGTCGACATTATTCTGTGTATCAGGTAACTTTAATATGGCGTTAGGATTCCGTCTTTGTAATGCATGGTATCTAAAAGATAAGAAATAAAATTAATTTTACTTTGTAAAAAAAACGAATGAAAGAAATGAGAACAAGATATATTGCAGTGTTTGTAAAGCTTACTCGTCTTTTAATTCGGCAATAATTCTCGCTACTCTAGCTTTTGCATCATCATCCCATATTAATTCAGGATTTTCATGCTTCGTTTCAAACATGTGTACACATTGTTTGGGTGCATCGCGAATAGCTTCGCTGAATAATCTCGGCAAAAATTTCGATAAATCAAGTTTAACTTTTGGTCCGGCTAATTTGTCGGATGACATTTTCGCGAGTAACTCAGCTGCTGCTTCTCTTATTTGAACATTACTCGAATTACAAAACAGATCGAGAATGTACACAACAGCTCCTGAAAAATATTACAAATACATTAGATCGGAATTATATTGAAATTCAACGCTATCTTTTACAAACCTTTTGCTATTGCATCTTTTACGATTTTAGTAGAACTCATCAGTGCATATAAAGTTTCTAACGCAAGAAGCTGACATTCCTTTAGGCTGTGCAAACATAACAATAAATGCACTACAACTTCATTCGCGGCTATGTCATCAACACATTCCTGATTTTTTGTAACATTACTGATTATTTCTAGAGCGCTCTTTTGAATTAATTTAAAGTTATTACAATTCAAAAGTCCAAATAGCAATTTAAAATGTCCCATACACTGCAATTCAATTCCAGGATTATTTTTGATAACATTATTCAGTGCTCTAAGCGCCATAACAATGTGCTCCAATTTCTCTTGATCTTTTTTACTTTGAGGAATACTTCCTAAAGATGTCAAGTATTCCGAAGACAATAATAAAAATTCGAGCAAATTTATCGTAAAACTTTTTGGGTTCTGAAAATCAAATAGCTCTTTTAGATTACTTTTATCATCGACCTGGAAGTTATAAACTAAACTAATTGTGTAAAGTTCTCTATATTCTATAATCCTATTTATAAAATTTACCTCAATTGGATAGACTGGTTGTTCATTATATACTTTCACAAATATTTCACCGATTACTAATTCATCGGCATGAGCAGTATATTTGAAATCGCTAAAATCATGTTCAAAGTTATCGCTATTATTTAATCTCTCTTGCTGTTTCGCTTCTAAATATTCATTTAATTCCGCTCTGGTGCCATTGTCCCAGATTAAATATGGATTTGAACAATTAGAATTTAATATTTTTAAAATCTCTTCAGGCTTATCTTTAACAAGCTGACGTGCTAGGTAGGGCGTTAACAAGCTTTCTAGGGCAGCAACGGTAACGGGATTAACAGGCGTCTCGTTTTCTCCCTTCATGTAACCGCCTAATCTAGCGCAAGCGCGAACTGCTAATTTAGCTAAATTATTGGCCACTTCTTGACGATTCTCATCCTGATTTCTTTCCACGCCACCTTCCTCTAACGTGTAATCATAGTTAAACATAAAGAGCAACAGATCCCACAAAGCACCAGATTGTAATAATTGCATTTGTAATATACTATCTGTAGCAAGAGATGAAATACATTCCGTGGCAACCGCACATAATTTTGTTAAATGCTGTAAAGGAAAATAGAGGAATCAAAATTAAAATCTATTTTTACAAACAGATTAAATAATTATTTTAGTTATTTAAAGTTATTTTTTAATTGTAAAAATAATTTTACAAATACCTTAAAGTGCAATATTCTGCAAAGGTCTTTTACGAGTTGCGGCAATTCAATTATCTTATCTCTACATCCTCGGAACGATCCAGCAACAGCGAAACATCTAGTGATATGCATACAAACTTGCACCGCTACGTCAGTGGGTTTACTCGAGTTGCTCAAGACAGACACGCATCGCGTATATGCTTCCAATAATACGTCTAAACCACCCTCTCTTCTCAATTCTTCGGCATTTAAGGCTGAACAATGCACCGTATGATATGCGAGTTCGCTCGCAGCTGCTAGTAATGGGGCAGATTTGGAAAATAATCGTTCGTCGTCTGTCTCTAGCTTTATCGTCTTGATTAGCTGAGGATAACCGGCGTACTTGTAAGGTCTAAGTTCATCCGTATATCTATGAAAAAGTATGCTCTGAGTCCTTAGAATCAAAACAATGTTGTCAGGATTAGGACCAGTAGTCGACCAACAACTGCGACTGCATAAAAATTCGTACGCCTGACTAACAGCTTCGAATTTATCCTAAAATTACCAAATCAATATGTTTTAACAAACTCAATAAGTGTTCTATATCAAACAAAATACAATTCACAGGACAAATATAAATAGACTTACTCTCCCCTCAGGATTCTTGTCGGGATGATACATTTGAGCTAACTTATAAAATGCTTTTCTAACGATCGCTCCGTCATGTTGTTTTCCAACAGATAAGCCGAGTTGCTTGTAAGCTTCATCCACAGTCATCAAAGGTGGTTTCTTTTCTACTTCTTTCTTCCATGCGTCTAATACATCTTTTAATAATTGCACCTAATTAAATATTTATGCACATAAGTCAATACTATATATAGAGTATTGCTTAATGTAGTATAAAAAAAGGCAATTATTGTCAAAACTTACGGGTTCTGGAATAGGCCACTGTGGAAATTTAACGGTATCACAAAGATGTCTGAGATAAAATATCTGGCAGAACAATTCATTCTCCAATTGCGGATATCTTATAGCAGGTATAGCGATATACTGATACCTGGCCATGGTATGACTTCGTAATTTGGGGCTAAAATCTGCGATATGCGCAGCAATTTTTTCAATAAGCATTCGTCGCATCTCTGCGTTCCAAATTGCTTCCGGCGTATCGTAATCTCCGAGAAATATCTGCGCAAATTTCTCCGCCCCATGATTTTCCAAATAACTCACCATTGCATCGGGTAATAGTTGACCGAGAATACTTCGTTGCATAATATCTGAAGAGGTGTTCTAAAGAATATAACAACAATTATATCTCTATAATTCATATATTAAAATATTATAAAAAATAAACTTACATCGTCATTCCTAAAGGCTTGTTTTGTATGCGTAAGCTGTAAAAACCTTGCGATTGGTAAGACATTGGAACCAGTATACATTAAGATAAAATAAAATACGCCAGTAAGATAAATCTTCGATACATCCGCGTTATCTCGCATTATTTCGCATAACAACGTGGCGACTCTTTCAACTAGAATCGGATCAAACGTTAGCAAAAGCTGTACAATATGTGGCAGGTACTGAAGGTCGGATAATAATCGCTTCACGCGTGGTAACGGTCTGATCACCGCATCATCGGCGTCTCTACTTGGAAAATATTCGCACATCTTAATTAAGATATTCAAGATTAAATTAGCCAGTTCACTTTCATTTATTACGGGAGTTCCTTTCGCAACGAGACTCCATTTTAATTGCGGCACTTGCGAAATTGTTTTCCATCCATCTAATCCCTGTGCCCAAACTTTTGTCTTATAAGTCACATGATTCGAACTATACAATTCTTTTAGATCTCTTAAGCTTATCGGTCCTTCACGTTGGTCTCCGTTATTGTAATACCATTCCTTTTCCATTCGTTCTTGCTGCGGGCCTGCCTCTATCACATTAGTTTGCGCTGGCACAACTGCTCGAGAAGTATGTAAATGTGCTAATGTCAATAAATCGACTAAAGTTCGTACTCCGTTTTGATCCATTATATCCTTGACATTTCGTCTATGCAATATGAGCTTATTTACGAACATAACTAGCCTATCGCGTTCCGTTCTATCTAAGCAGCGCTCCAACATTCCCAATATATATTTTGTATCTGAGAATGGACCAATGTCCTCGTAATACCGACCGTACACTATCGTCATTGCTTGCAAGCAAAGGCACTTCATTTCGATTTTTGCAGTCAATAAAAATCTATGGTATAAATCATTAAAAAACTCGTATCTGTAATTAAAAATAAACAAATCTATTATTACAAATTATGACTAAAAAGTTTTATATAAGAAATTAATATCGAGCACAATAAACAAAGTTTTTTTTTTATTTAATTATATATCTTGTAACTAATTATTTTTTGCAACATTAATATTTTTATCATTGACATATTTTTATCGTACACTCATCCTTCACCTTCGGATGCACACAAAATTGTTAAATTGATTCCATCAATATGTGCTTTATATTAACTGATTATAATGATTTTCATTGAATGTTTGTAAAAAAAAAGTACAAATATATGTACTTACGATTTTCTTATCGGGCTGTCTGGACTATCTTTTTCTAACAAAAGCCTCAAATAGTAATCTCCAATTTTAACTTCATCCGAGAGACATTGATATTGTACCTCAAATTCTCTATGATTCCATGCAATCAAAGTTCCACCAGCCAAATCTTTATCCAAAGTAAACGCACGTATCTCATTTTCCAGTGCTATTCTCAACTCTTCTCTTGTTTTATGATTCCAAATCAAGTTTGGCAGTGCATGATTTTGATTAAATTTATAATAGAATAATTTCCAATTTGCTTCAGATTTAATTCTCTCTCGACGTTTTCTCAAGACTATCGGACGTTCTTTAATTTTTTCTCTTCGCTCTATTCCAATACGAGCACCCCAATGCTGTAGAGCGTTTTCTACATGCTTTTCAACTACTCGCATCTGACGTTCGATAGCAATCCATTGTGGGCTCTTTTTATTTCTAGATGCATGATCTATTGCTATTTTTAAATTGTCACGGTTGTTCAATCTCTCTTCTTCAAGAAATGACTCTGGTACCTTTTCATCAGAATCCAAATAATTCAACAAGCCGACTGGCTACAAATAAAGCAGTAGTTCCACATTAGCAAATATATCTCAAATATCTTTTATGGGGAGCACAATTTGCCTATACTATTATTATTTTATATAAACATATACATATAATACGCATCTATATAAGTAACATATCTCTTATATAAATTGAAGATAATATAATCAACTCACCATAATTCGTTTTAATAATCCCATAGCTGTGGGATGTCCCGTGACCCATAAACCTACTAGATGTCGGCATAATTGTCGATGCGTTAAGAGTCTACTATCACTACCAACAGTAAATAAACTATTTAACAAATGTCTTGGTAGAGCCCCTTCCGCGAGTGCTAATTCTTGCATTTTTGCTGCTACTTCTGGTGCACCTTCTTCAATGATAGCACGCATTATTAATCCAGCACCTTTGACCACAGCCAGTGAAGGATGTTGAAATAATTTAAATAGAGATCTGCCTCTTGTAGCAACCATTTCTAAAAGATTGTCAAAATGTTTACCATCAGTCGTTTCACTGTATGGTACACATAGGGCGAATGTTAAAAGATCGAGCATAGCAGAGACTACCAATGCACCTGTGCCATGATTCTGTAATATTAACAAAGAAATACTTTTTATTGGTAAAACATTTCAATATTAAGTTTAATAAATAGTCTGAATAATTTATAGTGTATATCTTTTTCATCAAGATACTAGACATCTTAATGATGAAAAGATATACATCATAAAATCATTTGAGATAAAAAAATAAGCTGAAGCAGCTACATAAGTTGTATAAAGCATTCATATAAAAATTTTTCAAATAAATTTCAAACAATCTGATCTTTTAAATATAATAAGAATAAATGTGTGTTTAATATTAAATATAGTACTTCAAATACTTACAATGTGATTAACCCACATTTCGAGCAAACTTTCTAAAAATTTATTACTACTGAGCAAGCTACTTTTGTTCAATTGTTCTTGTCTTAAATCACAATCATCATGCATAGGCTGCATCAGAGCACAAATACAATCTATGGCAGCTTGTGTTACACCAGAATTTTGTTTCTTTAAAGCCTTTACAACTTTTGTGCCAACAGCTTCTCTAAAACCAGAAAGTGTTGTAAATGCAGCAAAGCCAATCTTATTAGCCACCAATCTTCGTAGTGCATGAAATTGTGCCTCGATCTCGCTGTTTGTTTCCAAATCTTTGCTGATTAAAGTATTCAAAGCTCCAAGGATAATCTTGTCTTTATTTTCAGTAAAGATTCCCTGTAAGTAATCATTTGTGATACGATGTACTTGGAGTTGTAACGTTGTTACAGTCCATTCAAGCGGTACAACTTCCTGGATAAACAGAAAATGTGTCCCATGTGTCTCTTAATATACATTATCCATATATCTATGCAAATATTTCTATTTTTGAAACTTTATAGTTTTTAACAAAACGCAACAAAAAAGAAAGAAAGGCTAAAAGATAGATTTATAGTTTTTATATGTACACACATTTTAATGGAAATTTTGTAAGAGATAGAAATAAATATTTACAATTCTCCGCTATAAAGTTTCAAAAATATTTTAAACCCAATTAATGTACTTTAACCGCTTCAATGTACTGTACAAGCTTTTATATTCACACTATTCTTTCTTATTTATAATCTCATAATATAATATTGATTAAAGAAATACTTTATCTTACATCTTGAGTAGTGGAATAATTAAGACCACTATATGGTATATTTGCATTAAATCTGTCCAGAATTTCAGCAAACGTACGTCCTCCAGGTGGTTGTTGAAGAAATTTAACATGCGTCGTTTCGACTTCTTCATCAACAGATAGATTGAAAGGTCCGAGTCTTTTACCTCTGGCTATAGGATACATCTTTACATGGACATCTCTATTACCAGATGCTCTTACACCATCTAGTAAAGATGCTAATAAGGAATCTCTATTCGTTGCAGTATAACTGCGCGTTTGACCATTAAGATATTGTATGGTAAACAGTTGAGGATTATCGTTATCACGAATCAAGGTAAAAATGTCCGATAATGGTCTAAGAGTACAAATATTATATGTTTGAGGATCTCTTTCCAATAGGCAGGTGTCCGAAAGACAAAGCGTTCTTCTTTGTGGATCCAAATGCCTGGAGGAGATTTTGTGTACATTAAATTCCGAAACGCTCGTTATATGCTCATCGCCGCTAAACTTTCCTAATCTTTGAGCAATAAAGTCGTCGAGTTTTATAGGCTCCTTCAACATTTTTATATTAATGCCTAAATTATTTAGTGCAGCTTCTTGCAATCTCTTCTTTATCTCTTCCATATGGGTAGAAGCAAAAAGATGTAGACGACCAAACCCACCGCATACAATCACAAATCCATTGGGATAATCTTTCATTGTCAGAAGCCCTTCAAAATCTTTATAACAATAGCTAGCTAACACCATATTTGTCGCAGGATCCAATTGATCAAGACTATATGGTGTTATTTCTAATACAATAGGTAATCTTGTATCAGACCAATGATGTTTATAAGCTTGATATCTCTACAAATATAAAAGTTATTTTATTAATGTTGTACATGCAAAATTGTATGTTATGTACAGTTAATAATTCTTTTTCCCTTTTGTTTTGTATAAATTCCTTTATATATAATAATGTTTCATAATCCTAATTAATAAGAGATAATTTTGCAATAATTTTATAAAAAATCAATTGAGAAAAGAATAATTAATCTCAGTGTAATATAATCAGTTTTATCATAAAGATCTATTAAATTTATTTATCAGAACATACAGAGAACAGAGAAAGGAAGAAAGAGTAGAATAACATAAACTTACCAAGATTTCTTTAGATTTTTCAAATTGGTTTCTGTATTTAAGTGCTTCCGTCAGCAGGTGTGATCTATGTTCAGAGCTAAACTTCATGGTATCATTTTTCCGCTCCTTGCGTACAGTTATGATAAATTCATGGGAGCCTAATTGACTTTTATTTACTGGCTGGACATTTATGAAATCGGAATACTCCCATCTGTTTGTGACTTCTAATGTGCCAGGATTGTATGTTGTTATTCCCATGGAGCCAATGGAGAAAATACGTTTGTATCTAAAATATATTATTTAAATATAAGCATAAATGAAAAGTCATCAGTATAAATAAAAACAGTATTGATATAAAGAAGACCTATAGTATCTAATATCGTTAAGAGTTTTATTATATGAATGACAAAGAAAATATTCTTAATAAAAGCTGTATACGATACTTTGTGTTTAATATAAGAATATTATACATTAAATTATTACGAGATTTATTTAATATATTTACATGTTTGAAAATCCAGTTCAAACAAGTTTAAAATTCAATTACAGACACACACAAGACTATTTATTAATTATGAGAAAAACTTACTTTCCCTTCCATGTAGAATGCTTGGTAACTAAAAAGCATGCCACATCTTGATTGTCCTTTATCGGCATCATTGTTTCATTTCTCGTGGATGCAACACCAGTTTGAACAGAGTTTTAATAAACCGCTGAATTCCACTTGCACAGGACAAGAGGCGTAGGATAACATTCGCGTATTACAAAATTACACGATCAGCATTTCGAGAAACAGACATAGGGAAGAAGTGTGAGGTTTAACTGCGTTGTCCTTGCCGCTGATTTTTCTTCGAATGGATGGTACTTGTATAGGCACGCCAGTTTAATCTCTTTCATCTAACAAATGTCATTTTCGACGGCTACATCAATCTGGAACGACCATGATGGTTGGTGGACGATTGGGGGCGTAAGGGGTGTTAACGAACAGCTGTTTCCAGGTGTCAGCACTGCGTACAATAAAAAACACACTCGTATAAAAGTCAATTTTATGTTCATCTTGCAATTTTAAAAGACAATTATTTTACAAATTATTCTTAAATCTACTATAGTTTGCATTTACACAATGATTACTTAGGTGAGATTTAAACTCTACTGGAACCAAGATTCAAAACATGTTTAGTAAAGACTCGAACCTTGATTAGTTCTAGAAGATTCAAATTCTAGTAGAGATTTAAACCTGCTTGGCGGATATCAACAAATGTTAATCTAGTGACTTTACCCGCGAGAATGTCAAGGTTCGTTCGAACGCGTGCAGGTGCAATTTCATTGACGCTAGAAACCAGCGGCAAATTAAAATCACTAGACTTTCTCTAGATTTGGCGTCAAAAAAATAACGTTCAAAAGATGCGGCCTCATTGACGCTAAAAAGTAGCGTCAACCATTGGTTGAACAATGAAGCAACTATACTTACCTCCTTGTTCAACCAATGGTTGACGCTACTTTTTAGCGTCAATGAGGCCGCACCTAAAACAGTTTCAACTTTTTCAGTGTGTAAAGCGGCCTTTTCATTGACGCTACTTTTTAGCGTCAATGAAATTGCACCTTAACAGTTGGCAGCCCTACGAGATAGGCTGTGCACTGCGCGTATATAAAATAAATTTGAAATCGCTTCTAGCCTAACCATCTTCACGCGATCGACTTTATTTGAATTGCACGGCATCGCATCGAATTATGATGCGGCCCCGATTTGTTTGAACGTAATTCGGGACATCGCGATGCTGTATAAGCGTCGAATGAGCACGAATTGTCACGCAAATATGATAATAAATCACATCTACTAACCGTTCACCGGCTGTTCCACAGGCCGCTCCACTCGCTCGCCTCGGGACGTCCCATTCCGATCTTGATGCACACGATATCATCAACGCGAACGCACGACACTTTATTCGGCACTCCCGATATTCGCTCGCATCCGATAATCATCATCAAGGGCGTAAATAACGCGACGCGACTTCGCTCCATTTTCGCGATCGAGCTATCACTGAACTGTTAAAAACAGAAGTCACGCACTTTTACTGACATATTATGAAAGTCGCGCGATCATCCCTGAACACATTCGACGCTCTTTTACTCGCGATATTCGTTTAAAAACGGTTAAAAGACGGGAAAAATGCGGACGTACGACGATCCGTGTAACTGCGTATGACTCCGAGTCTCGTATGACGCGTATGACGTAAGCAATGACGCGAATGACGTAGCGACACGCGCTAACATGGCGACCGAACCAGTGCGCAGAAACGACTGCGCACTGGTTCGGCCGCCATGTTGGCGCGTGACTGCGTCTTCACTGCGACGTCACTGCTACGTCAAACGCGTCATACGGCCGCCATGTTGGCGCGTGAATCGGAGTCATACGCAGTTACACGGATCGTCGTACGTCCGCATTTTTCGCATCTTTTAACCGTTTTTAAACGAATATCACGAATGAACGAGCGTCGAGAGTGTTCAAGGATGATCGCGCGACTTTCATAGTGTGTCGATGGAAACGCGCGACAGCGATTTTTGACGATATTCAGTGATGGCGTCATCGCGAAGATGAAGCGAAGTTGCGTCGCGTTATTCGCGCCCTTGATGATGATTATCGGATGCGAGCGAGTATCGGGAGTGCCGCATAAAGTGTCGCGCGTTCGCGTTGATGATATCGTTTGAATTTGTGTGCATCAAGATCGGAATGGGACGTCCCGAGGCGAGCGAACTGTCCCGAGGAGGAGCGGCCTGTGGAACAGCCGCCTGAGTAGATTTGATTTATCATATTTGCGTGACAATTCGTGCTCATTCGACGCTTATACAGCATCGCGATGTCCCGAATTACATTCGGACAAATCGGCGCCGCATCATAATTCGATTCGGTGCAATTCAAATAAGTCGATCGCGTGAAGATGATTATGCTAGAAGCGATTTGAATTTTGTATACGCGCGCGCAGTGCTGCATAGCCTATTTCGTAGGGTTGCCAACTGTTAAACGATAAATTTGTTTGATCTAACCTAATCTAACCTCTCAGTGTCTTTGGATATCGAATGTAAACACAAGCGTATGCTGCCTGGATTGTATGATGCTTTAAAAAATAATATTTAATTATTTCCTTAATGTATTACATTTTAGTACGTAATATATTAATCGTATTAAATGTGCGACGTACAGTTTTACACATTTTAATGAGTAGCATATAATATAATTGGTTAGGTTAGATTAAATTAAAACAAGCTGCTGTGATTCATTTAACGTAATAGGATTAATTTGAGGAATGTGCAGCTATTGAAGTTACATGATATTTGTGGACACATTTTTAAAGTAATCATGAGTGTTTTATCACATCTCGATTACATTGAAATTAAAATATAAAATATTTATGTATTCCACATTAACGTTATTCATTACAAGTACTATATTATTACATTACAAGTACTTTTCTTATATCTCAATCATATTCAACCATTTATTTCATCGATGAAGCTTTTCATATATCGCAGACAATATGATACTGCGTGTGGAATTTTACACAGGTAATACATGGCACAAAAATAATTTGCTCTCAAGTATTGTGTGCATTTCTCAAAAATAAATCAAATTAAATTATTTTCAGAATCCAAACATCGCTACATTGCCAGGATTGTATCTTATTATAACTGCGATATTATCACCTTTTAATATGTGTGCGCAGTATTACATACATAAAATATATAAATTTATTTGAAACGTACTGAAATCTTTATCTTATTTATAATATTCGTGATATTATAAAAGAAAATTGCAACTGTAATGAAACAGAGCGGTGGAATAATTGGTTGATTGGTTAATTGCAGGTAATTATGTTATACTTATATATCGTAAGAAAGAGAAAATAAAATAAAAGTTGAATACTGAATGTGCTCTAAAGTAAATCTCATCTAAATAAATAAATGCATAAATGTGCGCCCCACATTCCTCATGAAAAAAATACATAATATTAATCTTATTATTTTTAGATTTGTTTTTTATTCTTTTAAATTCTCTAGATACACTTTTCATTTCTCCTCTCTTTCTTTTCAACTACTAAATATAGATCTATCATTTTTAATATAGATCTGTCATTTTTAGTGTACATTATTGCAGTAAGTGGAACAAAGAGCAAATCTTTTGGCACATTTAGAATGTACAGGAAAGTCAGTTTTATCTGATGCGTTTTTTTCAATAGAAATATCTGAAAAAATTCATACGTTTTTTTTAATCTTAATCTTTCTAAATAAAAATTAGAATAATAAATTTGCAAAATAATTTGCTTTAATATATTTTTATTGCAAACATATGAAGCAAAGTGCTCAAGGTGCATCACTATGAAAACATAGATAGAATAAAAAGTAGATCGTATACAAAAGAATTAAAATATTTACACTACATATTTGATATAGCATTTAATCGATATGTGCAGTAATACAATAAAATCTAATTTTCTCTCGAATTTTTTCACGAAATTTTAACTACTAGAAAAATATCAAATATTCAAATTGTTCAATAGTCTTGCGAAAGAAGCAGTTCTCGCTTAAAGAATCTTTAGAAAAAAAAAAAATAAAAAAATTCTAAAGAAAAAAAATGACAAAAAATTTTTAATCTGACATGGATATTTCATTTTATACTAATATTTTTAATGTAACACTTCATTTATAAAGATTTTATTTTGTGAAACGTTTATACATAAAATTACAATGATTATAAGGCTTCTTTAATCTACTGGTTCATCTTCGCACGTTTTTCGTCTATAAAATATTTGTGCTTCTGGATACTTTTCTCTGGAAGCTTTATGCAATGTGTGTAACCTAAATCTGTTAACGTACAAGTATTAGAGTAACGCAATAAGTATATGTAATTTGATTAAAAATACGTTTCTTATATGAATTTTTAATTACATATTTTATTATACTACAAATAAAAAAAATCATGCTTGCGCGACGTGATTCTAACAATTTACCGACATGCACAAAATGATGACTTTACCGGCAGTCGAAGTATCTAGACTACGTAATTCTGGCGTTTAACGCGAATACAGATGGCGATACTAAACAGCAAAAAAGATGGCCGCATTGTGTGAAACGCGAGGCGCGAAATATTGCATTTCGTATATCAATTTATAAATGCATGAAGAAATCCATTGCTTCTAACTCTCCGTTGGCGGGACAATACTCGAGCAAAAATTAAAGTGAAAAAGTAAAGGCAAAATTAAGCAGCACCAGCAGCAGCAGCAGCGGGCAGCGGGCAGCGAGCAGCAGCAGCCGGCAGCGGGCATTTTTTTTTTTTTTTTTTTTTTTAATTTGATACTCTTTCTTTTTACAGTTTCGAGCTTTCGCTCATATCCGTCTTTTGTCTCTAATTTTCCTATTTCCCTACTTTTATGTTTAAGGATCCTTTTATTTAAACTTTATTCTTTATTTTAATTTGTTTCTCTTCTTATTCTAATTTGTTCCCTTCTTTTTCTTATTTTTTTTTTCTTTTTCAGAATTTGGATCTGCCAGCCGACATCAGCAGCAGCGGGCAGCGGGCAGCAGCAGCGAGAAGCGGACAGCGGCAGCGGGAAGCGGACAGCGGACAGCGGCAGCGAGAAGCGGACAGCGTACAGCGGACAGCAGCAGCAGCAGCGGGCATTTTTTTTTTTTTTTTTATATTTAATTCTCTTTCCTTTTACAGTTTCGAGCTTTCGGTCATCTTTGTCTTTTGTCTCTAATTTTTCTATTTCCCTACTTTTATGTTTAAGGAGCCTTTTATTTAAACTTTGTTTTTTATTTTAATTTGTTTCTCTTTTTATTCTAATTTGTTCCCTTCTTTTTCTTATTTTTTTTTCTTTTTCAGAATGTGGGTCTCTCAGCCGACATCAGTAGCAGCGGACAGCGGACAGCGGCAGTGGGAAGCGGACAGCGGACAGCGGCAGCGAGAAGCGGACAGCGGACAGCGGACAGCGGCAGCGGAAGCGGACAGCGGGAAGCGGACAGCGGACAGCGGCAGCGGGAAGCGGACAGCGGACAGCGGCAGCGAGAAGCGGAAGCGTACAGCGGACAGCAGCAGCAGCAGCGGGCATTTTTTTTTTTTTTTTATTTAATTCTCTTTCCTTTTACAGTTTCGAGCTTTCGGTCATCTTTGTCTTTTGTCTCTAATTTTTCTATTTCCCTACTTTTATGTTTAAGGAGCCTTTTATTTAAACTTTGTTTTTTATTTTAATTTGTTTCTCTTTTTATTCTAATTTGTTCCCTTCTTTTTCTTATTTTTTTTTTCTTTTTCAGAATGTGGGTCTCTCAGCCGACATCAGTAGCAGCGGACAGCGGACAGCGGCAGCGGGAAGCGGACAGCGGACAGCGGCAGCGAGAAGCGGACAGCGGAAGCGGACAGCGGACACGGCAGCGGGAAGCGACAGCGGGAAGCTGACAGCGGCAGCGGGAAGCGGACAGCGGACAGCGGCAGCGAGAAGCGGAAGCGACAGCGGACAGCGCAGCAGCAGCAGCAGGGGCATTTTTTTTTTTTTTTTATATTTAATTCTCTTTCCTTTTACAGTTTCGAGCTTTCGGTCATCTTTGTCTTTTGTCTCTAATTTTTCTATTTCCCTACTTTTATGTTTAAGGAGCCTTTTATTTAAACTTTTTTTTTATTTTAATTTGTTTCTCTTTTTATTCTAATTTGTTCCCTTCTTTTTCTTATTTTTTTTTCTTTTTCAGAATGTGGGTCTCTCAGCCGACATCAGTAGCAGCGGACAGCGGACAGCGGCAGTGGGAAGCGGACAGCGGACAGCGGGCAGCGAGAAGCGGACAGCGGACAGCGGACAACGGCAGCGGGAAGCTGACAGCGGGA